ATAAAGAGAGAAGTTTAGATCGTCCAGCTGTATCCTGGTTGTCCACTGTATACCGTGCTTCCTTGTAGATGCTGAAGTCTTCACAATCCAGTCGATCACCAGGAGAAGGAGAAAGAGTGGAAGTGAGCAACCTTGCCTGACAACGGTCTTCATCTCGAACGAGTCTGTTGACCGATGTTAGGCAAGGTTACTTACTCTCACCCTAGGTCCATGAGATTCGCATCCTATCAGTGCCTTTTGTGCTTGTTTGGACAGCATCAGTGCAACTCCTTATGTGTGGGAGGCACTTTCTTCTTCATGGCTGGAGTATAACAGCAGCTCTCTTGAAGCTAGTCTCAGTTATCCAACTTGAGTCCAATGCGTTTCACTGATTCCAAGCACCTCCAGGTTGTATCTTTTCATTTCTGCCGCAACTTGAATTAGTCTTCCACTCTCCCACAATGTTCGGACATTCCATGTACCTAAAAGAATGGTTGCTCTGGTTGTCAGAAGGAACATCGGCCTTGTGACTTTCGAAGGAATTCGGCTTTCATCATGAGACCTCATAACTCTTCTGAAAGAAGACCTTCTAACTCCTCCCAGAGCAAAGTTAAAATAGTTTGAAGTATGTTTTCTGATTAGCACTTTTTTTTAGCAAGTTAGTTTTTTTGGTGGGATAGGGTTGCCAACCCCATTCCCAACTCTCCTCCTTTCTCTATCCGGGATTGGGATCGGTAGTAGTAGCCCCAGAGGTGTTACAGGTAGAGTTCTTCCGACATATCAAAAATTTAGAATATGATGAGCTGTTTCCTGTATATTTAGTTCTTTTTATTAATTTGTAGACTGTAAGACTAAACAATTGAATAGAATCAAATGAATTCATTTTATTTCACAGGATTCTCATGCAACTGATTATAATTTGTAATATTTTAGTAATCAACATTATTGTGACTAGATTTGTGAGGAAATTGTTGAAGTTCTAGGGAGAAGATGTCGTGACCAATGGAGTTCCCCCACCTATCGGGTGTAGGCAATGACTATCGAAGGCAATGGATGAAGTTGTGCAAAATCCCTTGATTGATCAGAGTTAGACATTAATACCGTTGGATGATGGCCTAGTGATCTAAGGGTTAATCGTTTGCGTGCAAGACCAAAGGTCCTCGGTTCAAATCCTGTAAGTAGTAAGATTTATGGATGCGCACTGTTGATGCATTCCATATGAGGACGAAACGGCTCCGTCCAGTTCTTGTGTGTTTCTATAAGTTGTCTAACGATGATTGATTCATTAAGTTGATTATTTGTCTGAAATCTGATTATTCTCTCTTAATGATGAATAACCCCGTTTTACAATTCTAACTACAGATTGAAAGCAATTCATAAGAACCCTGTAGACATATGTTAGTTTTCATTATAGAGTTGTAGAGATTACTGAATTTTAATGAGATCATCAATCGATTAATGTTAGACCACTACTAGAAACCTGTAAACACAGGACTGTCGTTTCGTCCTAGTGCGGGACTCATCAACAGTACATCTCAACGACTACCATCATAATGAGTTGAACTCAATGATTACGGGCTCGTGTACAAATCCTTAAACTCTGAACCGCTGAGTCAATATCCAACGATGTAGTCACTTGTGACTAGCTTCATAGGGAATTTCTCAGAGTTCTGATGAGACCAGTGGAATTCAGCCGTGTCTTGAATGTGCACTACCATTGATGTGTCCCATATTCAGATGAAACAGCTGTCCAATGCTTTCAGGTTTCTACTAGTGGTCTAACACTCACCCCAACATAGTCACATGTTTATTTTCGGTGTAATAAATTGAATAAAAGTTGATTTCATTTCCGATCACAATGATCAGCATTGTTTAAGAGTTTCAAATGCACTTTTATGATCATTTTCATGTTGAATACATTTGAAAAGTGTTTATTTGAATTATATATGATACAGTGGAATTTTATCCTTTTAAATTGAATATTTCAATGACTATAACTGATCATGTTTCCCTATTTTTGTGAAGTGAAGCTAGTCTTAGTTGTCCAACCTGCGTCCAATGTGTTCCACTGATTTCAAGCACCTCCAGGTTGTATCTTTTCATCTCTGAGGCAATTTGAAATAGTCCTTCGATCTTTTGTACATTTTGTTTGAACATTGTGTATATCTAAAAGAATGGTTGCTCCGGTTGTCAGAAGGAGACGTCGACCTCCTGACTTCCGGTGGAACTGGGCTTTCATCATGAGTCGTTATAACTGTTCTGAATGAGGACATTTTTGAACTGCTAAGACAGAGTTTAAATATTTTGAAGCGATTTTTCTGGTTAGCGTTATTTTAATGAGTTGTTTTCTAGGATGTAAGGTCGTCAACCACATTCTCAACACTCCTCCTCTGAGACCACCTCCTTGGGATCAGCAGTAGCCCCAGAGGAGTTAAGTGATCATTTGAAGTTTATCGTATTTACTTATCATGCGTCCTTGTGTTAAATGTAAAAAATAGTTTCTGCAATGCTAGGATAGTTCAACTATCCTTTTTTAAAATTTTTATCATTTACTTTACTTACATACTACTTAGCCTGTTACTCCTATTGAAATATAGGCCACAAATTGACATTCTCCAACCTATTCTATGTCCAAGGTCTTCGTTTCCATTTCTACCCAACTGGTGTTTATTCTTTGCATGTCTGCTTCTAATCCTCGGGTGTCATGTGTTCTTTGATCTTTCTCTTTTCTTGTAACATTGAAGATTTCATGTTGGGGGTTTGCCTCGTGATGTAGTTGGGTGATTTACGCAATATATATCATCCAATCCACCTCAAACGCTTTGTCCTAATTTCTTCCTCAGCTGGAATCTGGTTCATTCTCTCCCATAGTTGGTTGTGGCTGATAATGTTTTTCCAGCGAATCCGAAGTCTTTTGCGTAGATAACTGTCAATAAACACCTGTATCATCAGGTTCTCCAAGTTTCTGCCTTATACAACAGAATAGGTTCGACTGAAATTTTCTAACTTGGATGTTGGTTAATTGTTGCTTTTAGTTTCATTTATAGTTCAATTGTACTTCCTAATGAGATGATGTTTATTTCGAGACTCGAACCCAGTATTGTACTCTTCAAACCTCATCACATGACCCACTTAACTTCTGAGTTCAAATAGTTATTCGCCCGCTGAAAGATAATTAAACGATGGGTTTATTTTTTTCACGGGGAATTTATTTTCAAGTCTGTACAATTATTTTTCCTTACATGATCATTATTACAGTAATAGTGTAGTGAACGAGAACACAGGTGGGGAAACAGAACTGTATTTAACGAAAATTACAGAGTTACTCAGTAAAATCGGAAAACCATATCGTAAATCGTTAATTTGCAAAATATCAGTTCATCATATCGAACTGGACTGTTCCTGTTGCAAAACATCAATCCATTGTCACTAATCATGCGTTTCATACAAATTCCATTGTTTTCTAACTCTTCCTTTCTTGATCGTTCCCCATCTTCTGCTGCCAGACATTACGTTGACACTAACGTCATATACTACTTATAAGTAGCTCGCACCACACAATGAATATTTATCATGAAAATGTTATTATAGTATTCTAGAGATCATTGTTTTACACATTGAAATCATGAATGAATCATTGTTAGACCACGACCAGTAGAAACCTGGAAGCACTGGATGACCGTTTCATCCCTCTATAGGACTCATCAGTAGCAGTACGCATCTACGAATCCTGCTAATCATAGGATTCGAATCCACGACCTTCAGACTTGCGCATGAACGCCTAACCTTTGGATCACCGAGACGGCTGTAATCCAGCGGTGTCGATGTCTAACTCTGATCAGCCTCACTCATTGTCTTCGGTAGTTAATGCCTACACCTGACAAGGTTGAACTCCACTAGTCGTGACTTCTTACTCCCACTAACACCGTTGGATATCAGCGCTGTGGTCTGTAGGTTAAGCGTTCGTGCGCGCATGACTGAAGGTCCTCGGTTCGAATCCTGTGAGAAGCAGGATTCATGGATGCGTACTGCAACTGACGAGTCTTATACAAGGAATGAAACGGTTTCTACTGGTGGGAGTCCAACAATGATTTGTTCATGATTTCCATAAGTCCCATAATGTAGAATCAAATTTCGTCGGAATCTACTATAAAAGCAATTCACTTATTCATTACACTGTCAACTGAATTTACAGTTTAGGTTGACATGTTTTTAATCTAGTTCCAACACAGGCACACACACACACATAAATCAACAATCCCAGCATGTGTTATTTACGCTTGTGAATAGATAGATAGATATATAGATAGATAGTAATACTAACCTTAAACATGTATCAACATTTTTTACCACTCAATGTAAGTAATCGTTGTTCCAAATGTGTTTGTAAGATTCGAATCACATCAATGGTTTGCTTATTCCTATATACTTACTATTTTCACAATGTGTTCACACTATTGGTGACTGGTTGTTTTTTTTTCCTATTGAAAAATCAAAATGTATCCAAATACAACTCGTATAATAAACAAATGTTTACAAATGGTGATAGGATTTATTAAGTGTAATTTGTTTAAAAATTAATTCATCTCGCTTTTTTTATAGTGTATCAACAATGGTGATTTATTCCCACATTCCGTGTATATCTCATGTGTGTTGAATCGATAAGATTGACTGACTGACTTTGTGTTTTCGTGTGTGTGTGTGTGTGTTTAAAAAAATTTATCACTTGAATTTCGCGCCATTCGTTCAATGTTTCACTATCCGTTCATTATTCATGGTTCAATGTGCTATACTGATCACCTACTTCAATGACAACATGATAAGTAATCAATCGTTTTTCTCATTATGATATCGGTGATTTCAACTTACTTTTTCAATGATTGAATGATTTCTATTGTAATATTGAATGAGGTGTTTGGTTAATAGAACATTGATCGTTGATCAATGACAAATGTTAACTTGTGTTTGATGATTGTATTTGTTTTTTCTTTACTGTTTTTTGAAAATACATACTTTTACAGATAGAATTTTTCCAAGCTGTTCAAGCGCCAGTGATGTTAAATGAACAAGGAATTTATTTGGTTGTTTATCCTGATCGACGACCAACAGGGGATGCATTCGTACTATTTCATGAAGATGATACAGCGACCAAAGCGCTGACACGTCATAAAGATTATTTAGGTGATAGATATGTGGAATTATTTAAAGCTTCACCATCTGAAATGGTTCAGGTAGGTGAATGTGGCTTTTCTCTCTCTCTCTTTACGATTTGTATATTCATTTTGTTTGATTGAAGAGGGGAAAAATTAGATGAACCATAGTTCAGTATCAAATATCTTGATGATAAACTCAGATAAACTTATTAAATACTCGAAAATGGTGTTTATATTATTAACAAAGTCTAGTGAGATTCATCTTGTCACTGGACTGAGATATTCCTAGTGAATTGGACAGATATCCCAGACCACCGGTAAAATTCCTGGATTTGGCAGTTATAATGTCACCAGGTAATTATGTGGTTGTTGATATTGAGGGTTATAAAATGGAAATCAGAAGTAGAAGGGAGGTAAAAAGGTATAGTATAATCCACACTACTCTGTCCTGAACCACCCTTTCCAGCTCTGTCCAGTTTTCGTTCATTCTTCTCATATCTTTATCTATTTCTTGGTGTAATATATTCCCTGGCCTTTCTCTTTTCCTTTTACCTTGAGGGTATCAAGTCAGGGCTTGTCTTGTCACGCAGTCGGGTGCTTTCCTCAATATGTATCCTATCCATTTCCACCACTTCTTCCTGATTTCCTCCTCCACTGGAATCTGGTTTGTTCTCTCCCACAGTACGTTGTTGCTGATCGTGTCTGGCCAACGAATCCGAAGTATTTCGCATAGACAACTGTTAATAAACACTTTTACCTTGTGAATGATAGCTTTTGTAGTTCTCCAAGATTCCGCCGCATACAGTAGAACTATTTTGACGTTTGTATTGAAAATTAGGACTCAATGTTTGTTGATGATTGTTTCGAGTTTGAGATGTTCCTCAGTTGTAAAAATGCAGCCCTTGCTTTGCTCATCCGCGCCGTCACATCTGCATCAGATCCACCTTGCTCATCACTGATACTTCCTAGACATGTAAAGATTTTTACAGCCTCCAAGGCATCTCCATCAAGTGTGATTTGGTTAATGCATGCTGTGGTGTATCAGCGAATCTTACTTTTTCCTTTGTGCATGTTCAGACCTACCGCTGCTTCTGAGGCTGACTCTAAACTGGGCATCTTCTCTTGTATTTGTTATCGTAGAAATAAAAGCAAGTAAGCAAGTCAACGGAAATAATAATCGGTGAAACAAAGTAAGACAGAGGGATAAGAAGGAAATCAGTAATACTGTCTAGTGGAATGCTTCTAAAAGAGAGTACACAATTAGTGAAATGGAAACATTGATTATTATACCCAATTATAACAATAACTTTCTTATTGTACTCAATTTGTTTAACTGTACTAAATATCATTACTCACCTGCTCGACTTGTTGGTAACGTTGCTCGGTTGCCTAGATGGTTTTATCTGTTATCGAATCGCTTGTCTTGATATCTTCTCGATAACACGAGACCATCAATTTGGCCTTAATGGGATTTAACTTGATCGTCTCGTGACTAGTAGTCTCAATTCACTACAGTGGTGAGCTACAACTGTATGACAAGGAGAAAGTGAGATCAATAACATCCTACCGCATGTGTTCATCAGCTATCCCAATTGAAAACGAGTATCACATGAATGTGGGTTTGACTGTCAAATCTCTCCACGAAGTAATCTACTCGGATGGCTGTAGGGAGATAGTGTTTTATGTCATGTCAGAAATCCCTATTTAGTCAACTAAATAAAGAGAAATCTCATCCGAGTGTACAATTTTTGCTGGAGACATTCCTGGTATACGATAGGTGGACATGATTTGGATTGACAGTCTTCAGTACTGAGTAGATTTCCTCTTTAATCCGTTTGCAATGTAACAAAAGGCAGTCCGCGTCTAACAAAGTCGAAGTCGGTACGTGATATGGTGAGAAGTTACTACAGTAGGGATTAAAATTTCTATCGACAAGGTTTTTCCACTCCAGATTATGATTCATAATTATCTATAATTTTTAGCCAAACCAATCTTTAGTAGTTCAAGCTATCTCGTTCAACTACTCTGTTCCTAGTTGTTGCAACTATAACTCTGATTCGCCTTCTCATTTACATTAAAACACAAGCGTGGAATCATCTTGCTCCCTACATCTCAAGGCAGTTCGTTCGCCCAGCCTAATAACACTCAATTTAAGGGGATTGTAAGACTTTAATGGAAATCTGTAGACTTGATATATATATTGTAAACAACTACATACATAGCCAGTTGACGTACTAAAAAAGTGAACTGAGATTTGATCTGAAAGGAGTAGACTAGCACTATTAACCTAATGGCTCAATAATCAGGGACATCCATTAATCTATTTGTGGGACAAGTATCTAAAGGATCACTTATAACCCCTCTTTTCCTCATGATCCCACCGCTATACATTATCGCATAGGAATTCAGCGGTCCACGGCAATTTATTAAGCGCTTTTTGAGAAATAAAAATGGGTCTAGAGGATAGGCTAATACTCAGAATGTCGAACAGTATTAACATCCCTTGAAGTCATGAACGAAGTATTGTTAGACCACTATTAAAGTCTTGGAAGCACTGTTTATACTACCATTTCGTCTTGGTATGGGGTTACTCGTGAGCAGTGAGCATCCGCGACTACTGCCACTCGCCGGACTTGAACCCCGGACATTCGGTCTCGTGAATGAACGCTTAACGTCTGGAAGACTGAACTGACATCTAACGACGTAAATATAATTGATATATTAAGCCTAATTTGACAAGAGTATATTTAACCTGATTTTCCAGGCACTTAATTAGATGGGAAATTAAACCCATTAGAAAATAAGGTATTCTTTGGAAAATTATGATCGAAAACTTATCTGTTTGTGTTACGCTTGCACGTAAACACGTCAACTTGATATACTTGAACTATTGCGGGTTTACCTAGTCAGAAAAAGAGAGAGAGGATCGAGGATCCGGTGACACGACATGCTACTCAGATCCGATTATCTCAACCCTCATATTGAGAAAAAATGAGAATAAGTGATATGAAGTAGAACCTGCATTCTACAAGCATCCATAAAGTACGAGGTTCGAGTCCAGAAGAGAATCAGGATCCCGGACTAGGGATTCGGGACCGGGTCCTGGTCCTGGTCATAGAACGTTACAGATAATGCGTATTTATACATCTAGGTCGAATAGGAAACAGCATCGAAGTCTGTGACATTGACAGTTAAGACGACCAATAGGAAACAACATTTGAAGTAACATTGATAGTCAGGACAACCAATAAAAAACAACATTGTAGCACGTGACCATAAAATTGACCAGTAGGAATTAACCAATAGGAATTGACCAACAATTCTCTTAGGATATTGAATGAATCTCCTAACAGTTTGACTACTACATCAGTGTGACAAATACACTAACCAGTTACGAAATAATTTTTTGGTAAGGAAAGTATACTACTTAGAAAAGTCACTGAATTTTGATTAGTTAACTCTATGTTTAACGCATACTTAGTACTTTTTATTATGATTATTATTTTCATTTAGGTATGTTACAATGTCACACTATTTCATAATTCATCATCTGGACAGAAAACACATACCAATCTATCAAATTATCAATCTAACGGAGGATCGTTAGGAGTACCACTAATGAATGGTGCAACACAAATTAATTGTTTAAATCTAGTCAATTTTATTCACAACAACAACAATACCAACAATACTACTACTACTAATAATCACAATAAAGAAACTTACTTCAATACAGCATCGTTCACACAATTAAAATCAGCTCTCAATTCCAACGCTTTATCCAATCTACAAAATTTATGGAATTCTAATACACTCCGTTTAAATTTATCGCCACAACAAACTGTTTTGCCTACTGCACATCATACCACTGAGAATATTCTATCGAATAATAATAATAATAACACCACCACCACTACATTCAATCTACCATTTATCCCATCGAATGACTCATCATTATCATCGATTCATCCAATGAATTTATCATCATCATTATTATTCACATCAAATATAATCAATGGAACAAATACACTGATTCATCATTATGATTTAACAGATCCAACCAATCCTGATTGTCCATTTGCTAGACCAATGCCAATTGGTGGTGTTTGTGCTATGATTCAGTTGAATGAATTACCACTGGAAACATCTAGACATGATATACGGTTGTATTTAGGTCCAGCTAATTTTGCTAAAGTTTATCGTATGAGAAGAATGGTAAATGTTTGCGTGAATATTTTTATGATGATAGTTTGATTATTAGCATAAGGCAATTGGAATGGTTGGTGGTTAGTGCACTCACTGCTGAGTGGCTTGGTAATCCGTTTTGGGGTGCCAGGTCTAACTGGGAAAATTCCGGCTTGCCGCTCTTGTCGATTGGGGATTGTGGGTAATGGATTAAGTTGGAGGGATGTTGTTGATTTATAATTGTCCGAACAGGGGGGGGGGCATTGCTCGTGTGCGTGCTTTTTGAATGGCCACTTGTCTGCAGACCAATCTAGACAACATGTACGTTCCTTAATGTGGGGCAGGGGTGATCGCAATATTGGCTCTAGTGAGAATCTTTGTGTTGCTTAAAATGCAGTGGCGTTCATGTGCAGCAGGCTTGTTAGTTAACCAAGAATAATTATTAGATAAATAGTCTGTGAATCTGACTCACTTACTTACTCCCTTTACCGCTAATGGAGCATAGACCGCCGACCAACGATTCATGTTTGTGGTTAGCGATTTTTTTAGCGAGTCGGATTTCTACGGGATGGAGTTACTTACCCCGTGATGCCTAACCCTCCTCCTTTATCCGGACCTTGGACCGACAATAACGATAGAAGGGCTCCAGGTAGAGTTCTGTGAATGTTAGTTCTATCTAAATAATCGATTTACTGATATTGATTACTGGTTTAATTAGCATACCGAGAACCATCAGTATGGAGGTTTGTGGAACTTATTTACTCAAATCGTAACTTCACTCAAATCAGGAATCACAGTACATACGCTATATCTTAGTATGGAACTTTTTAGAAGGGTGTACAGAAGAATCCGGAATGGATCGAACTTGGGACCTTCACTTTCCCAAGCGCATGTGGCTAATCTTTGGAGCACTGCGTAGAAAATGTCTAATTTCAATGAATTCACTATATTGTGAAACTATCGTTCATAGTTTTTAGTCGTAGCCTTCGTCACACCCGAGATGTTTGAAATCCTGACTATCTAATTTAAGATGGTGAAGAAAATTTGTAGCTCAGATAGATAATTTCGGTGGAGTTTCGTTCTATGAGCTCAGTGTTTCGGTTGTGGAGATTTCATTGTATACTTCTTGTTATGCCTGCACGTAAACATGTCAACTTGATATACTTGAACCATTACGAGTTTACCTAGTCAGAAAACGAGAGTGAGGATCCGGCGACACGACATGTTACTCAAATCCGATTATCCAAACCCCCATATTGAGTAAAACTGAGAAGACTTGATATGAAGTAAAACCTGTATTCTACAACTATCCAGAAAGTACTAGATCCGAGTTCAGAAGAGAATCAGGATCCCGGACTAGGGATCCGGGATGCGGATCCTGGTCCTGGTCATAAAACGTTACAGATAATGCGTATTTATACATCTTGATCGAATAGGAAACAGAATCAAAGTCTGTAACATTGACAGTTAAGACGACCAATAGGAAGCAACATTGGAGTAGGTAACATAGGATGACCATAAAATTGACCAGTAGGAATTAACCAGTAGGAATTGACCAATAATTCTCTTAGGATATTGGATGAATATCCTAACACTTCTGAACAACATCATAAACACAAACTTCAGATAGAAGTGAAGTACTCGAATTTCTGTACGTATGATCTAGGTTCTTGTTCTGTTAACATCAATCTTCATTAGTTGTTATTATAGTTGTTAACAGTAGAATTCAGGATGTTTGTTTTATCCTATTCGGGTCGTGTCGGCTGGATGTTACTTACTTACTTACGCCTGTGACTCCTAATGGAGCACAGGCCACTGACTAGCGTTATTGTAGCGAGTTGATGCTTGCCAACCCCATGCCTAACCATCCTCATTTATCGAGGTTTTGCAAGCGCCAGGAACCTCAGAACGGCTTCAGGTAGAGTTACTTGCATCCTATATAGTGGATGTTCACTCCTGGACTCAAACCCGGTTACCGTTTGCTTCAAAACACCATCGCTTTATACACTTGTAGGTACTGAGTCTAGATAACCACTGTCGTGTACAATAGGGAGAAGATACATTCATTCCAAATGGTTTTTTAAATCTGTTCATGTTTTTTTAATTGATCGATTCAATGAACTAATTTCATTTAATTTGTGTTATGAATGAACACTTTTAATTTTCAAGGAAACTGCATCAAACCAAATTACATCTTCATGGTTATTATCATTAAGAAATACAACTGAAGCAATACAATTTATACGTGATTTAATTGGTCGCACATTTACTGTCAGTACACTGTGTGGAAATAATCAATCATACAAAACAATACCAAATATTCCAACATTTGCATTGTATAATGTTGATCCAAATGGAAAATTATCCGTAGTTAATTTATCTGATATTTCATTTGGTATCCCATTGCATAGAATACATGTGACGTCATTAGTGAAAACCAATAAATCGATTAATTCGAATTTAAATTGTCCGCGGCAGCCATTGAAAAAACATTCAATTAAAACAAAAGTTGATGATCAAACTATGTTGAATGGTTAGTTATTTTAAAAAAGAAATTTGTGATATTTTTATTAGAAATAAATAAAGATAGATAATTATTGTGATGGGTTAAAAAAATATACTACTTATATCATTCTGTAGGCATAAACGTACCAGTTTGTGTCTATCATGAGGATGCCTGATAAATGAAATCGAACAACAGATCTAACGAGTGGTTGGTTTTAAAGTCCTTCTATGAAATTCGTGGTAATTATGTAAGGGTTTGAAATTTCCTGCTGATAATATTCAGGACCTAGTTATTTTCGCTCCAAAGTTCATAAGTCAGGAGAACAGGAATGATGTTTCGTGAACTCGCTTTTTTTGCATTAGCGGTGCAGTGAGATGAAGGAATGTGAGAAGAGTTAGTCGTGGAGATAAGAGAGGCATTAAGGGGTGTAGGAAGGATTTGATTTTGACCAATTTAGTCTCGTGTGCTGTTACGGGTATGAGGGCGGTTGTCACTTGCCGGCTGCCCACACCGTGGAAGGTTGTTTCTTGAGGGACTTGAAAAGGAAGATAGATTAGTGTTGGTCTTGGAGACCTGAGAGCGTGATCGCAGAGCCCAGGGGACAACTGCTTGAGGCCGGTCACGCACGGCCGTTTTATGAGAGGTTTTTTGAGTATTAGCTCTGATCTTACAGGCCCTTAGTGGCCCTTACCGCCAGAGACGGAAATCCGTGAGGTAAGGTGAGGTGTGACATTTTTAGGGTCGACCTTTTCTAACCCTTCCTTTCTTGTGAAAAGGCAGCATCACTACAGATGCTGGTTGTCCGAGGGAAACACCTTACTGCTGTCACACCCCTTGGCAGTCAGCAGTACGATTTCGCCCTCAGACGTTGAGTAGCTGCTTTTAGTCTCATCGTTCTGCAATCGACCTGCCTGGCATGGTAGAACCTTCAGGAACCTATGTTCCAGCCAGTATAGCTCGGTCATCACGATAGGTAAGAACGACCACCACGTCAAGGTAGCAGCTTCGGTCGGGGGTTTAATCTGAGAGGTCAACCTTGAACAATCTTCTTTCTTCGAGAATGAGCTAACTAGTGTCCTCAAGTAAACGGGATGCGTTTGTTTTTAGTCTCATCGTTCTCCAGTCGACCTGTCTGGTATGGTAGAACCTTCGGAAACATATGTTCCAGCCAGTATATCTGGGTTGGGTCATCACGATAGGCAAGCACGACCACCATGTCAAGGTAGCAGCTACGGTAAGGAAAGTTCATAAGTATCAACCAATAATCCCCTGATTATCGTTAGTCAAATCGGTACAGAATTATGTATGCAAAGATTTAAGTTTTGCTGAAATTTAGGTCCTGAATTTCATCGTCTACTGAAATCCAAATATCATAATACATTGTATACATGAAGAGTAAGTAGTGCAAGTATTTGCGGATTTTACTCTACAAGACTTTTCTCAACATGACCTCTACTTAACTTGTAGGTCTGATCTTCGTTAGTGCAATGAGACGAGTTGATTTGACAAATATTATTGGTATAAACATTATCTATGCGATTATAAGTGCAAACAATCCCCAAGTTGAATACAATGAAGTTGTTTTACTCAAATATATGAAGTTATTTGAAAAAGACTGAGTTCAACAGTTTCAATGCATTTTTCAATATTCAATCTTAGTCCGTTTTTGTAGTGATCGTTATTAGTTGAGGTTATGTACCGGATGGATTAAGTTTAAAATGCCAACTTATAATTTCTAATTATTGGTTAGAATATTTCGATTCTGGATTACAAAGAGATTGTGATCCTAATGATTTTTAGTTTCATAGACATGATTAATATCAAAAGATTTCAAGAATAATTAATTGATATCAAAAATCAATCATTGTTAGACCGCCATTAGAAACTCATAAGCACTGAACGACCATTTCGTACTATTATGGGACTCATCAGCAGTGCACATCCATGAACCTCACTCCCGGAGAATCGAATCCAGGACTTTCGGTCTCCTAAGTGAACGCTTAACCTCTAGGTCACTAAGTCAGTATCCAATGGTGTTAATGTCTAACTTCAATCAATTCATGGTCTTGCGCAACGGTGATCGCTGGTGCGCACTACTGATGAGTCCCATTTCTTCTGGTTAGCGCTTTTAGGCAAGTTAGTTTTTTGACGGGATTGGGTTGCCACTCCCATGCCCAACCCTCCCCCTTTATCCGAGCTTGGGACCGGCAGTAGCCCCGAAGGGTCAACAGGCGGAGTTGATCAGTCCCATACCAGGATGAAACGGCTGTCCATTCCTTCCAGTTTCCGAATGATGGTCTAACATTGATCAATTTCTTGATTTCAAATGTAACTGAACAATCTCTACAACTCTATGATGAAATATAATCAAAACTTACATTTGATTTCATTTCAGCAATAACTTCACAAGTTCCACTAACTGATCCAAATTTAACACTAAAACATACATCACCTTCATCGTTAGGAAATTTCGATGTTAATAATAATTATGTCAATCCAACTGCCAGTTTTAATCTCTCCTCATCATCATCAATTACCAATCAAAATAATGACAATTTGCTGATTCCCTCGAGTTTAATGTCTACAAACAGTCTGGATAATTTGAATGTTTCATCAGATTACAAAATGTCCGCGCATATCAATGATATTATATCAACTAATCATCAACTTAATCGATACAATCTTCCCAGTCTTACAGCATCGATGGTTATGTTAGCAGGGGCTCCAGCTGATGCAACACAAGAAGAACTTGGTTCATTGTTTAAACCTGTTAGAAATTTATTGACGGTTAGTTTGTCTGTCATGCTTTCTTATGCTGAATTCTGTTTGGTTGGGTTACATGCTTGCTTACTTACTTACTTACTTACTTATGCATGTTACCTTCAACGGAACGCGGGGGACTACCAACCAGCATTCTCCAACCTACTTACGCTATCTTGGGCCTTCCTTTCTAGTTCTGTTCAAATGTGGTTCATCTTCCTCATGCCTGCTTCCAATTCTCGGCTTAATATATTCCTTGGCCTTACTCATTTCTTTGTAGTGTAGGAATAGGTTGGAAGAAAGTTAGGGGCGGCCAAACCGAAACATGGCAGAAATCCATGAAGTCATTGACAAGTGGACTGAGTCATGTCGGTAGTTGCCGACTACCTGGTTGGGGTCCGCGAGATGATAATAATCGATGGTTAGAGACCTTGAATTACATGGCTGAAAAACGTTTGCAATGGCGCCGGTGCATTTATTCTTTGTGTTCTCTCAAATCCTAATCTGCATTTTTCAACCCCTCTACTTTTGACTCATTAAACTTTTCTCACTAAATCATATTTCTTGAACACCTCATCCTAACTTTTGCGTACGAAGTTCTACGTTGCATCTAACTGACTGACTGACTCTTTTATTTTGTCCTTGAGGGTTCCAAGTGAGGGCAAAAGTGTCATGATACCGAAAGAAATTGTTGCTTAGTCTTGATTCAATTGTCAATCTTTGATGCGCTACAATAACTTTTGTTTGAAAATTTAGTAACCTACAACATGATTCAGTCAGATTGTTCAATAACCAGTGGACTGTTTAGTGAGGTCCCCTGGTAGAAACACAGTTAGTTGTGCAGAAGTATCAGTTTACTATACCTTGGGTCCATTAAAAGATTGACATAACAAATGCAAGAGGTTATATTTTCTTCCTATCTTGCGTCTTTATTTATCCTTCTTTGATGAAAATGACGTATATAAAAATGATTTGATTTGTCAAACCATAACTTATATAGAAAAAAATTTCGATGCATAAGTCTCCTTGTTAATATTACCACAGTTACTTAATTGTTGCTCTGGTTGTCAAAAGGGGAGTCGGACACGTGACTTCTGAAGGAGATCGGCTTTCATCGTGAGATATAAGACCTGTTCTAATTAAAGACCTTCAGACTTTCAGGGCAGAGTTTAATGGGGTTTGAATTATTATTTCTTGTTAGAGTTATTCTAGTCTTCTACGGGATGGGGTCGCTAGCTCCATTTCAAACCCTCTTCCTTTATCCGGGCTTGGGACCGGCGGTAGCTCTAAATGGTCTTCAGAGGAGTTCGTTCATCTGCTCTACATCTTAACCAAAATTATTGATAATTGAATATAGTATTTCATTAGTTAAAGTATACATCAGTTTCCTTTAATAGTAATGAATTAACTCATTATTTATTTCACCTACATACTTCAAGGCTCAACCATACTTTATTCCATTTCAATATCATCCTAATGGAACAGCAAACTTTTTAGCCAATTTCAACAATCCATTAGATGCTCAAACTGCTGTACGTTATTGTCCAAATGGTAGTCTACGATCTAATAAATATGTCATAGGAGCAGCATGTTTAATCCCGCCTACACCATTACCAACAGAGATAACAACAGGCATTACGAGTAATAACCAGTATGCAACGCCAACATCACCAATAATTCCTATCAATGCAACTAATCTATTCATGTCTAATAATCAATTAATCAATTTTTCAAATTTATTGAACAATGAATCATTGAATCCAGGGATTTTATTTTTACCGCCAACTATATCAACACTTCAACAACCAAACAGATTACATTTTCAATAATCAAAAAATTATGAGATATTTTTATATTATATACATATATATACTTTTTTTCATGATTTTCACTGTCTTCCCAACCATCATCAATGAAATTCCTAGCCTTTTAATAAATGAACTAGAAAATTGGGTTGTTTGATGTTGCTTCTTCTCATTTATAGTGTATATTAAACATTGGACTAGGAATACTTTGTTTAAAACTGATATATATATTTTTCTAATCATGAATATCCTGTAATTATTATTCTATACAATATTTAAGCGTCGTTTTTTTTTTCTAATTTACTGACAAGTAGATGAATGAAATTCATCAACATGTAATTGTATTGTATTTATGTACTGTTTGTTTTGTTAACTTTTTTCTAATCATATACCTTACAAATTCTGTTTTTTACTTGATTAATGAAACACAGGAGTAAAACACATGTCATTCATTATTTTGTTACATTGTTAGTACAATTATTTTATCTGCAATTGCAGTAATAATTGTATTTCGGTACAGTTCGTTGATAAATGAAATACCAATAGAATTTTTTCTTATTGTGTAAGTGAAAAATGCGATGGTTGATCAGTACCTACTTTCCAGCTTGTATGATCATATTGATGTACATCTTAAAAGAGCCTAACGTGACTAAAGTAGGGGAAGTGTACTTGCCGATCAGGAAACACCACCTTCGTTTAAAAGACAGGAACTTTTTCTTGCCTATTTATAACTAAAGATGAGGTGAATGTTCATTGATACTTAAAGTTGTTCTCTCAGTCTTGTCACTTCTTAATCTCATGTATTCAGTTTTATGTAGGTTTCATAGTAAAAACAAAAGAAATTGTTTCGTGTTAGCGCAGACTCTCATGGCATAATTAAAGCGTGACATATGATAAGAAAGAGTAATTAGTAAAAAAATGAAAACTATAAATCTGTTAGTGTTTCTGTTGCCCCACCTGTGTTCTCGTTCACTACAACGGGATAGTAACGAATTTTTAGTGTTGATCATAGTCATTCTTGACTCGGTCACCATTAAAGATTCAACATCTATTCTTCTTTCTTTTTTAGACGGAATATTAGACCTCATTATTACAATTTCAACCCGTTCACTTCTGCTTATTGGCTTATTTCGACTTAGCGCAATCAATTAAATCACTCCACAGTCTAATACCCTATAACGTTTTCACGAACTAGTATAAACGAATTGATTTCTGTGCGCCCGATTCTTGTCCTTTCAGTACGGTTCATGTTTGTTAATCTTGTCATTTTTATTGTTTGAAAGAGTAAGAACTGGGTAAAGTATGTAGTGGCGACCGAGTCGAGTTTGACTATATTCATCATCAAATACTGAAAGGATAAATAAATCCAGGGTAAAGAATATGTTTCCTGGTGATTTCAAAGTGTCGAGAGAACACCCAAATTAAACCAGGAAAGCGGGTGAATTGACGAGCAGCTACAGCACAGAATATAAGCAACACAAACAGAAAGTTGCGCGTAAAAACTCATAAACAAAAAGTACAACTAAACGATCACTGGTAGGATTAGTTATAATAATAAATGTTTCTATTAAACCAGTCGCGCTCTCTTCATAATAGTGGATCCACTACAGCGGCCATCCGCTAGAAAGGGCTTACACTTTCGAGACTGACTGGCAAACGCGCGATTGTAAGACGGAATGGTGAATGAACAGGAAGCGATCCATTATGTTGGAGTTGTCACCGGAGGTCTTTCATGGAGTACGGTACCAGCAGTGGCATGCCATGTGTTTTGCTCCAGTTAATGTACAACACCAGCGTGGTTCGTAGCGGTCCGGACCAGGAAACGCTACAGACGTAGGACGGAATCAGAAACAACCATAACGATCTAGTTTGACTCCAAATGTGTACCAGATATATTCGGAACCAAATCGTCGACTGAGTGCAATGACAATAGCATGAATGATCAGGCCAGCTTTCCGTAAAATTGACTGAAGTCGATGGTACCAATAAGACTATGGTCGCAGGCGCAGTCTGAGGATAAAAATCAAAGATAAAGATAACGCTACAACAAGCATATAGTAAGGAGTAGAATCCTATAACCTATACGTTGCTTACCAAGGCTAGTAGCGAAAGCGCGCAGGTAGATGTACCTGGCAACCGGAACGTGAGACATTCGTCTCATACGTACCTCGTGAGCCTGCAATCTTATCCGGAGTCAAGAGGTGTGGTCTGCTGACATGAATGTGAGAACGGAGTCTCATCCGCAGATAGCCTGGGTGACGCGTGCTGTTGACTGGGACATGAAAGTGATGTTTCTGATGTATCTAGCGTGGGTCCGAAGGAGACGTTGGGATCACGCCATTAAGTTTGACGGGTCTAGCATTGAGTCTCGGTTTATCGTGTAGGGCACTATCATTGACGTAGGCGGGTTTGAGACGGTCAATGCTGACTGTATCCATTGTAAATGAATTTCTACAGTGGCCGTTCCAATGGGTTCCAATAGATGCACTCCTGTACGATTCTCCCAGTCCCAGGTCCAACAAATCAAAAAGGACAAAAAATCTAGGAGAAAGCGTCTTATTTAAATAAAAACATGGAAATACAAAGCATTACCTGGAAATAATGCCTCTTCCAGGATACAATTACTCCGAAGAGTATCAGAAACAGTGATAGCTAAGTGACGCTAAGTCCAGCGGCCACTGCATCAATCCAAATATGGCTGTAGCCATATTAAAGATCAAATTTAAACAACATATATACAGATCAGAAGCAAACACAAAAACTTCAATATAAGTACAAAATATAGAAAGAATAACAATATACAATGATGAAATCTCAAATTGGAATCAAATAAAATACCAAAAATGTCAACAGAAAAAGTCCGTCATGTCATAGCAAAAATATGTAAACATGGAGGGATTTTCCAAAACACAGACCATTCGAAAAGGATTCTACATCCATCTACCTTCAAGGTATTTTCGTGACGAGAGATCACGCGAAAAAATCCTTCGTAAGGCTGTTGCAAATGTTTGCATACCGAACCTACTCGTATAAAACCACATGGACAGGTAAATAAGTCTCTAGGGAGAGCGACCTGTAGGTACCATATTCGAGTTCACACCCAGGGCAGCGTTCGCTAGCACGCAGATAATCTTTGGACGTTATCTGATATAAATAAAATAGCTGCTCCGTGGTGTGAAATATAATTCCTCAGGCAGATGCAATGTCGAGCCGTATACAAGTTCAGAGGCGGAACATTGAATATCTGCCGTTACTGCTCAGTATTCGCCGTGTGGTCTCCAAGTGATGCCATATTTTTGCGAACCGAATGGAGATAGAAGTCTTAAGGACTGTGAGAAAGACAAATTAATACATATAGCAATTAAACTGTCAAACTCACGCTTAGCGAAAACTAATTTGTCCAGTGTCAGTCAGTGAGGTTTCGCCGAGACTAGGGGTCTGCAAGTGACTATATGGCTTGTCACATAATAACTAACTGGTAAAATCTTCTCGGTTTAGTTACTTTGAGGAATTTATCAAATATGACATGAAATGAAGAATCATACAAACAAATACAATAGTGATTAGGTACACATTTGTTGGAGCGTTAAAACCCTTGGATTTAATATTTTACTGCAGCCTGCGTGATTCGAGTAGCAATTCATAGTGCAATAGGAAATCGATACTGAGTACGGCTACAGGACCATCATCAGAGACGAACGTTCACAGATACTGTCGTCAATTATTTAGTTTCATCGGTGGCTGACGTGTACCGTAGGTATAATAACAAGTATAATAAGAACCGCTACGCAGCAGCAAGATGCGTAGTCTCGGGAATAAACAGGTTTATACTACTTCGTCATTTATTGTTGTTTATTGCAACGATGTGTCGAGAGGCCGCAATGACATGCAAATGACAATGTCTGAGACTATTTAAAAGAGATTTACGAGGCTCTTTTGAACTCAAAGTATGGATTACTACTTTAGTCGCCCGTTACCTTGACTCCTGAATTTACGAACAGTCGAATATACTATGAAACAAATCTTCCCTTTAGTTTCCGTATAACATTCTTCTTAGGTGAATCCCGTTTGAGCAACGGCAGTGATATGGAGTCTAATATGGATTCGGTGAGATGGATTTATTTCATACATTCATTCAGCGGACATCAAGAAAATAAAAAGCGTAGAAGCGAAGTGAAGCGATGCGGAGAGGATGAGTGAAATAATTCCATGCGGTTAAACATAAATAGGTATTTACAGTCTGATAAAATAAGCTAGACATATAGTAGGCAGAGTAAGCGGTACTCAACCAAAAGCAACTGAGATATGAGAGAATGATTGTCTAGGCTTAAAGACGAGTGAATAATGTCTCGAATTGATAAGGTTATTCAGTTTGTCCAGAGACTCTGAAAGCCTTGCAGGCTCAAAATAAAAGTATGCACACTAAAAGATTCTTCCTGGAAATAAATCTCACCCGAATTATCTACTGATAGTTTGAAAAAAATACACCGAATATTTATTTCACTCTATAAACAAGCTTTGTATATCTGGTGGGATTCTTAAATTTTCAAGGCCATTGCTTACATGTGATTGGCATGAGATTCTGTGCGATTTTTAAGCACAAAGATTTGACTTTAACGTCCTAGTGATCAGGCGGTAGTTCATACACTATACTTTATACCTGTAAAATTAACTTAATTTTGATAACACTAACGTCTAATGGAACCCAATGGTTCTTCAACATATGCTGATTATCTGTTACCTCTTCTTTTCACTTTCAGACTTTAAGTCTCGTTATTCTCTCATGTTTTTAAATTTAATTCCTTTAAATGGTCTTCTGTACTGAACAGAGTACTTTGATTTTTGAAACCAATGAGATGACACAAGAGTGACTAAAGCTTTGCTGAATATTAACAGTGTAAACTATCGGTTACTTTGACATTATGTGTACAAACGTCGATTCATAAAACGTCAACTAAGAATGGGCAGTATAGTTATCCACACCACTGGTTCTTGATGGGATTTGCCTGTCGGATGTAGAAATGTTAGATTCTGTTTGAGGTTTAGATGAATATTCAAATTGATAATAACCCCAATTAGTTTAGGAAAGTTTAACGACAATTTAGAAGTTTGATCTAAATATTCTAAACTAGCTCTTTAACCCCTTATCTTTCCATTGTTTAGCCCTAGTTTCACAACTCTTCGTTGTCATTTTGCTTCCTCATATTTGCCTAGTGGACAGTTATCTTTCACACTTATCTAGGAAATCTTACTCAACCCCTTGCCATCACCCTTCAAATTGTTGCATACTTGTAACTTTTGGCAAGTCTGTTGCTAATGTGACATCTCTTTTCACGTGACTGTTATTTGCTTGGTATGCATGGATTTTAAAATATTAGGTGCCCGCATACCAACAGTTTTAATCAGTGGTATACTCTTTTGACAGTATTGGTAATGGTTCTAAGGATATCATGGGTATTTAGAGCTCTACAATGCTTGTCTGATCGAGGCTACCTAAAGCCAAGTCAAACCAGAAATGAGGAAGATCAAAGGAATATTTGAGTGATTGTTGAGATGTCGAGTAGTGGGTGGACTAAACTTGCTAGTTGGTGCGAGATGTGTTACACAATGTGCCAGTGACTCGGTGCGGATGCGTCACGAAGCTTCTTCAGCTTTAATGTATCCAGTAAGACTAGTGAGGTCAGCACTGATATGGAAGACCTACAGAAGTATTTATTTTGGAAATCTCTTTACTACTACAATTCTATATAACTCCCCCAAGATTAAATGAACGCAACCATTTCCAAGAAACCGAACTATAGCTGAGTATTGGTGAAACGGTTCTTAGCTTTATTTCAATACATAGGTCTTTATTTAGATCAAACGCTGGTTTTGGTAGCTTGCACACTCTCAGTATTCTTTCACAACAAGTGTCTTGCAGCTTATTTATACAAACTTATTTCATCCGTAATAGGCTGCTGTTGGAAAGTTTATTTACGAATATATTAAGCCGGGTTTACATTTCCTAACTTATATTAGACCCTAAATTTCACACAGTGTCAAAACCAAACAAGATGAGTGTATGCTAATACTTATAACGTGGCGACAGTGTTTTTTTGCAGTTTTACTAGTCAACATTTTATGGCAGTACTATTGTCAGGTGACCAAATTCATAAATTCACTGACAATCAGACTAAGCCGTGTTAGTAAGTTTAGACTGCCTGGGTGAGATACACGAGACAATGGTAACCAATGGTTAGAGACTTCAAATGACATGGCTCAAAATCGTTTGCAGTGATGCAAATGCATCCATTATTTATCTTTTCTCTTGAGCTCAGAACCTTTTCTCTTTTTAAATTCGATTTTCTGGATTATACTCCTTGGATAATTTCTTCGAATCCTAATCTTTTCCATTACGGCTACGTTTACTACTTTGGGATTTGAAATCATAATTGCGTCTCTGTGCTAATGTCTTATGGTAACTTGAACTGATGTACGTATGCACGATGTCCTACATTGTAGCTGACTGACTATCTTAGTACAAGAGTGTCTTGAAATTATAAGTTTGACATACTGAATACTTAGTCGACTATCTGTTTATTCTAAAAATTATATCCACTGATAAGTTTCATCTTACTGAAATAAAGAATTAATAATGACCTATTTGGTCTAGCGTGCTGTTACGGGCATGAGGGCGGTTGTCACTTCCCGGCTGCCCACACCGTGGAAGATTGTTTCTTGAGGAACCTGAAAAGGAAGGTAGATTAGTGTTGGTCTGAACGATCTGCGAGCGTAACCGCAGAGCCCAAAGGACAAATGCTTGAGGCCGAACACGCACGGCCTTTTTATGGAGGGTTTTCTGAGTATTAGCTCCGCTCTTAAAAGCCCTTCGTAGGGCACCCTTACCGCCGGAGAAGGAAATCCGTGAGGTAGTTTGGGGTGTGACATTTTTAGGGTCGACCTTTTCTAACCCTTCCTTCCTTGTGAGAAGGCAGCATCGCTGTAGATGCTGGTTATCCGAGGGAAACACCTTACTGCTACTGTCACACCCCTCTGCAGTTCTACGTTCTATTTGTCTTTCTGTCATCTTATTGAAACACTTTTTATATAGATTTATTCTAGTTGTTTTCCTTCAATATTTCACTACTAAAAAAGAATACTAATTCATTCAATTCTGGTTATTTATGATCACAGCACTCTATCATGTCCAAGGGTTTCATCGATAAACTTCGTATTTTTGTCCGAGCTGGTAGTGGGGCTGCAGGTAGTCCATCAATTAAAGGTCGTGGAGGAGATGGTGGAAGTGTATTTTTAGAAGCTGACGAAAAGCAAACACTTCAAAATCTGGTAGCGACTAACCCAACAAAACGTTACAAGGTAATTTTAATACAATGCTTTTTTTTATCAGTGTTTGTTATGGCTGATTTGTAAGTTAATTGTTTTGAGAATTGATAAAATTTGTGTATCAATTAACAGTTTATTTAGATATCTTTAAGCCACATTTTATATGTTAGTAATACTATATCAGGCATCCAAAACCCAAAGGTCGGTAGGTTAGGTTTCAAAGCTGGTTAAAAGCCGAGTACCTTAGCCAATGAGACACGCTTCTCATTAGTATTCTCACCTATAGGACACATTATTATTGATATGAATGTGCCACAGTTTGGATTTATGGTGTTTATCGTTTTCTTCTGAAGTGTATTCGATCCTTTCGAGATTGACTTCCGTTGTCTTAAGTGGATTATCGTTGGTTGTAAAGTTCTGATATTTGATGTCTGTGTATATACATGTCGGTTTCCTATTATTTAGCTGAAGCACTCACATTTTAACCGATTGGATCATGGGTATAAACCCTAGTTCCTATTATTAAGGTTTAAGTAATCAACTGGTATCACAGTTAATCCTTGTTTTAGGAGTCTGTATGAGCTGAATGTGCTAACCATCCTGTTTATCTACTTTCCTCTAATTAGTTGTAATATTATATATACGAATAAATTAGAAATTACTATGTATTACTTCCGGTAGGTCACTTTTGCTATTATTCACTGGTTCAAGTATCATAACTCTGTGTATAGGTTGTGTAATATAGTGAACCGATGAGAAGTGGCCACATAAAAAGACCGTTTGATGACCACTGACTGCCTCAATGTGCGATGTTTTGTGCCGTACGGGTAGACTGGAAGAAAGCCAAGTGCAAGTAGACCGAAAGATGTTACAAATCCATGAAGTCACTGATAAGTGGACTGTGCCATGTTAGTAGGTGTAGACTACCAAAGTTGAGGTCCGCGAGATGATAGTAACCGATGGTTAGAGACTTTGAACGACATGGCTCAAAATCGTTTCTATTGACGCAGGTACATCCACTCTTTGTGTTCTCTTAAATCCTAATCTTTTGAATTCCTTGTTCCATCTATATTTCTCTTTTTAAATTTATTTCACTGGATTATATTTCTTAAATAACATCTTGGAACCCTAATCTTCTTTGTTACCACTAATACTTCTACTACTATAGGATTTGAATTGACAGTTGAGTCTCTGTGCTGATGTAGTATGGCAACTTGAAATGATGTACGTACGTACTAATTTCTACGTTTTAGCTGACTGATATCAGGAAATATCCCTACAGATAAGTACATATCACATCAGTTAAGAAATGGCTTCCTTTTCTAATAAGATGGAGTACATATATGTATATTGTATTCATAGATATTCGATAGCCAAATAGACTTTCTCTTCCATTTTTGCCTTCTTGCTTAAGTAGTTAGCTTTGGGGATGGGATTTAGCGCAACATATCACATTCAGATCTTTGACACCGCTTATCATAACATTGTACATTTGAACTTCTTTTGAACAGAAAAATAAAATAAAGAAGTTTAATCCGCGGAATTGTAGTACGTCTTTGTCATTCTTGTAATTCATCTATAGAATATAAAGCTTTAATACAAGTGGTAAGCTATGAAAATGATTAAATCATATACTAGAAAGGTTAGATAGATAGATAGATACAACGCAGAACTTCGTACGTACGTACATCAGTTCAGTTTGCCATACCGGATTAGCACAGAGACGCAACTGTCAGTTCAAATCCAAGAGTGGTAGCGATAGTAGAAGTATTAGCAGTAATTAGAGAGATTAGGGTTCGAAGATATTAATCAAGGAGTATAATTCAGTGAGATAAATTTAGAAAGAGAAAGATAGAAATGATGAGGAATTCAGAAGGTTAGAATTTGAGAGAACAAAAGGAGCGGATGTACTTGCGCCATTGCAAACGATTTTGAGCCATGTCATTCAAGGTCTCTAACCATTGGTGACTTTCGTCTCGCTGACCCCCAGCCAGGTAGCCTACATCTACCAACATGACTCAGTCCACTTTTCAGTGACTTCATAGATTTCTGCCATCTTTTGGTCTGGCCGCCCCTAGCTTTCTTCTAACCTACTCCTACACCACAAAACATCACTCGTCGAGGCAGACAGCGGTTAGGCATGTGTAACAATTAACATAATGAAAAAAAGAGGATTTTTTTGTGAACAGTGTAGATGATCCATACTTTCGGGTTCATTGAATCAGTTGCTCACTGTACTCTACTTACTTATACCTGTTACCCCTAGTGGAGAACAGGCCGCCGACTAGCATTCTCCAACTTACTCCGTTCTGTACCTTCCTTTTTAGTTCAATCTTTTCATATTTCTGTCTCCGATTCTCGGCGTAATATATGTTCATTGATCTTCCAGTTTTCCTTTGGCCTTGAGGGTTCCAAGTGAGGGTTGGGTGTTTTTGGATGCTTTTCCCAAACTGTACTTAAAAAAACAAATAAGAATTTTTCTATGGAATCTTTTCACATCGTTATTTATTGTTTGTATTTCCCGAATTTTATTGATTCTGAAGTATTGCTCGAGTATCTTGGTACAGCCGAGTAAGCAATGCTGTTGTTAGGAAACAGGTGCTAAGTAAAGAGGGCAGGTCAATACATCAAGTAATGAAACTTTATCAGTTGAGGTGGTTGGGACATGTATTAAGTATGTCTAACCACCGACTGCCTCGTCGAGCTATGTTTTGCGATATAAGAATAGGTTGGATGAAAGAAAGCGGTCAGACCGAAACATGGCAGACTGAGTCATGTTGGTAGGTGTCGACTACCTGGTTGGGGCCCGCGAGATAATAATAATAATCGATGATTAGAGACGCTGAATGACATGGCTCAAAATCGTTTGCAATGGCGCAGGTGCATCCACTCGTTGTATTCTATGAAATTCTAAGCTTCTGCATTCCTCATCACCTCTATCTTTCTCTTTCTAGATTTACTTCACTGGATTACACTTCTTGAATAATTTCTTCGAACCCTACTCTCTCTGATTACTTCTACTACTATATGATTTGAATTGACATTTATATCTCTGTGCTAATGTGATATGGCGACTTGAAATGCTGTACTTACGTACAAAGTTCCACGTTGCTGTTGATGATGATGATGTTATTCATTTCATACACATACTTTAGGACAACTTAACTCATAAAACGAGAAGGACTGAAACCACATTGCCTTTCAAATAATCTAATCTCTGTTTGTTTACTGATTAATGGTAGAAGCATTCGCAAATTATTAAGGGCTTAAATTTACGAGATTGTTGTTTGATCAGAAGTATGTGAAATGGCTTGTTTTTACACAACATTACATAACTTTTAAAATCATGTACAAATTTACAGTTAACTTGTTAGGATATTTACCAAATATCTTAAGAGTACTATTTTTGGAAGTATAATCCTATTGGTCGAAATTATGGTCGTTTTAACTGTCAAAATCTAATACTTCAATGTTGTCTCTGATTGGTCTTCCGAACTGTCAATGTCATTTCAAATGTTCTTTCCTATTGGCCGTCCTAAACTGTCAATGTCACAGACTTTGATGCTGTTTCCTATTCGACCACCTAAATGTATAAATACGCACTATCTGTAGGCCTTCATGATTCGGATTCCGATTCCATTTCTCCTGCCTACCTCTCTTCTGTACTCGACCCAATAGACGACTCCATCCCACGGTGTTGCGTTCTGATCTATAGGAGATTTGGAAATAGCATTTTAGGTCGTATTGGGATATTTGAATTGGACGCCGCTAGGACTGAATAGCGCTATACGTAGCAGCGTTACAACAGTTTATAATTAAACAGTTAATATTCTTTGACCACTGTGTATGTATATATAACCATTGCCAGAAAAGTCTTACTCACTGACTTCTTGTGGCAGTAATGTTGTTTACGAAATTCAGAGGAGAAAAAAGTGCAAGTGTCTAGTGTTTAAATTGGTTTAATGAGTACAGGGGATCGACCTAGGGGAGTAGGAAAACTCTAATTCTAAACCACTGATACACATGGACTCCAATACCCTGAGGAAACAAATGGCATATGAATCTATTGTTGGTCACCGGTTATGTTATGAGACTGCATCTCTTCACATTACTCCACCATTCCCTTTTAGATTAAACCTGTAGGCCAAAGGCTTGAGGAATGATCCCTTAATAAAACAACCTATCTATTTCGGTTCCGGGCACCCAGACACTATTCCAGCACTCACACAAAAGCTCATTGATTTGTGTGACGCGTGAATAGTTAGGTATCATTTTGTATCAAATAAACAAACCTTTAATTTTTAGTAAAATGATATTTATGTATGATTCGTTTGTTGGCTATATCGGCTCTTAGTTAAACATTTTAGAGTCTCATCTGGTTATTCACCAATTTCTACGTACATTTATATACAGGCTGAGCATGGAATCGAAGCAAGTAAACGTCGTGGTCTAGTTGTTGGTCAAAATGGTAAAGATTTAACTATTCGTGTTCCACCTGGTATTACTGTCTTATTCGGTGGTCAAGGCACATCATCAAATGATGGATCACAACAACGTTTACTTGGCAATTTGGATAAAGTTGGTCAAAAATTATTGGTAGCACAAGGTGGTATTGGTGGATTTCATCAAAATGGTTATATTGGTTCACCGGGTCAAGCGCATTGTATTGTTTTAGATTTAAAGGTGATCATGTGTTGTTTGTGTGTGTGTGTCTTTCTCTCTCTCTCTCTCTGAGTGTTTTAGTCTAAAGGTAAATTATTGATTAGAAGTTAGTGATCATTGATCGATTTGGTTATTTTTTATGTTATGAAACTAAAGAAGAATGCACAGATATTTGGCGCGCATTGAAATCAAAAGCTGTTTCCTTTTGTTGATTCTTTTGAAGCAGAAGCTGAGGCATGCAAATGATAGTTTAATGGCGAGTGCGATCTGACTTCAATCGGTGAAATAAATTCCCTTCTATTTCCGTATATCATTGTAGTGCCTCCACACATAATATTCCAGTTCGCTTACATCTAACTTGGTTAAGCCCTTTCGATTGATTTATTTAACCAAGCCATAATTTGTATTGCAACAATTTATATGTACCATTCGTTCTTATTATTGTCTGGTTTGTGTGATGAGCTCACATCACGTCGGGCTCACCAGATTTGTGGTGGCCAAATTTTGACGTTCTCTTAATCTTCTCAATTAGCTCGTTCAGACAATCGTTACTAAATGGCGTCTGACGGTTAATAAATCAGAAGGTAAAACTCCAAGCGTTGAATACGTTTATTTTGGCACATCACAAATAGGGATAGCAGAGCGGGTAGACACACTAGCGAGTGAATGTGCAAATGTATGAACGAAGCAGCGAATAAAACGAATGAACCGACGTGAATTGAAGGAGCGTATTGGAGAAGTGTACACTGGCGATCGAATGAGCGACTGAAGCGAAGGAAGCGACGTTGGAGAAGGCTGTTGAGCCAGCTCCAAGAAATAGAGCATGACTAAGAATACATAGTCAGACAAGACAGACATGTGATTAACGAGATAGACATGCACACACATGAATAAAAGCGACGAATGATTGACAAGGTCAAATGACAAGTGGAACATGTCATGTGAGTTCATCATACAGACCAGACAATAATGAGAACGAATGGTACATATAAATTGTTGCAATACACAAATGGCTTGGTTAAATAAATTAATCGAAAGGGCTTAACCAAGTTAGATGTAAGCGAACTGGAATATTATATGTAGAGGCACTACATCATAACTCTTAGGCGAACCCTGTTTAAGCATCGGTGGTGATCAAAAGCCCAAAACGGTTTTGTGGATGAATTTATTTCACAAAGCGTAAAAGCAGTGTGAAGTGAACTTGAAGAAGGCGAATGAGCCAACTCAGTAGTCAGGCAAAAATAAACTAGACGTGTGATAAGCGCGGGGTACGAGCATGAACACATACACACTCGGAAAAAACGCCCTCCAAAGTTATGAACGAATAATTGCAACAAGCTCGAAAAACGAATGAGTAATGACTTGAGATGATTAAATTAGTTAATCTGTCTAATAGTTGGGACAAGACCTGTGGGTTCGACATACTTGTTACATACGCTACAATAATCAGGCAATAATTATATTCTTCGCTGTGAACATCGGTTTATTCAGTCCAATGAAGTTACTCGCATTAATAGTTCATCATTTTGATGAACTAGTTTCTTAAAAATACAAATTCTGGGTTACTGTCAGTATGAAGCTGTCAGATAGACAGACAGACAGATACAACGCAGAACTTCGTACGTAAGTACATCAGCACAGAGATGCAACTCTAAGTTGTGTAGATAGTTAAGTTTTATTGAGATCATGAACTGATAATTCTTAGACAATCATTGAAAATCCAAAAGCGTGAAACCCAAGGTCTCGACTCGGTTGTGATCCCCACTTGTGGAGTCGTGGGTATGCACTACTGACGAGTCATTCCCATACTAGGATGAAACGACCTTGCAGTGCTTCCACGTTTCCAATAGTGGCCTAACATTGATCGATTCATAATTTCAATGGGAATTATCATTTAAACAGATAAAATTGCTAAGCATAGGTTTAAATCAGTTTTTATCAACTCTATGATAAAGTTTTGAATCAAGTGGTTTAAGGATTAATTTCCATTAGCTGATCGCACATCCAAATTATGATGATATTCAGTCATTTATAAGTTATTAATGTGATGGATACTGCTCAGAAAATGACATATAAGTAGTATGTAGTGGAGTGACGGATGGGAAAGCATGGTTTGATCAAACAGTTTTGAAGATCAGAAGTTAGGCAATAATCTGTTTGTTTTGTAAATAAAAATCTGAATATTAAATTAGAATGCCCATTATTCAGTTAGAAAACTAGTTTATGCTGAGTACATAAAACGGGTATGAAGTCACTGACAAGTGGACTGAGTCATGTTGGTAGATGTAGACTACTTGGTTAGGGTCCGCGAGACGAAAGTCATCAATGGTTAGAGACCTTGAACGACATGGCTCAAAATAGTTTGCAATGGCGCAAGTGCATCCATTTGTTGTGCTCTCTCAAATCCTAATCTTCTGGATTCGTCAGCACCTCTACCTTTGTCTTCCTGAACTTATCTCACTGAATTATACTTCTTGAATAATATCTTCGAACCCTAGTCTTCTTCATTATCATTAGTACCTCTACTATCTCAATCACTATGGGATTTGATTTGACATTTGCGTCTCTATACTAATGTGGTATGGCAACCTGAGCTGATGTACATAGGTACGAAGTTCCACGTTGCAACTGACTGACTGACTGAGTACATAAAACTATCGTATTACATCAATGGAATAAGTTTTGTGGTCATGAATCAATCATCGTCAGACAACCAGTGGAATTCTGGAAACATTGGACGCCCATTTATTTCAAGTATGAGACTCATCATTGATCTGTGATTTCAATAAAATTCAACAATCTCCACGATTCTATCGTGAAAATCATAAAAATGTACTCACTGGTGACTAGCTTCGCGAGAAAATTGATGTAGTACTAGTGAGAAGCCGTGACCAATGGAGTTCATCTGTGTTGAATGTGAAGCAGTCATCCATCGAAGTCGATAGATGCGGTCATACAATATCCCTGAATTGATTCAAGATAAACATTAACATTGTTGATTGCCGACTGAGTTGGTCGAAATGTCAAGTGTTCTTGTGTGAGACCGAAGGTCTTGAGTTCGAGTCCTGCCCGTAAGTTTGTGGATGTGCACTGCCACTGATAAATCATGTACCAGAAAGAAACATCCGTCCAGTGCTTGTGGGTTTCTAATTGTAATGATCAAACAAAACCAATTTTCAGATGGTGGAGAAAATATGTAGCTCAGATGGATGATGATTGTAGTGGTGTCACATTCTCTGAACTGAATTATGTTTTGTTTGTGGTGCTTTTATTGTTCTTCATCAGCAGCACAATCAAAACATCCAACTCATAGAATGAAACACTACCACAAAAAGTAATTTTCATTTTTTTTTCTAAACCATTTCATAAAATTCTCGCTTATTCTTTTTTTATTTTTCAATATCTCTACAGTTAATGGCTGATTATAGTTTAATTGGATTTCCTAATGCTGGTAAATCTAGTCTGCTGAAAGCATTATCTGGTGCACCGGCTAAAATCGCCAATTATCCATTTACTACAATTAAACCACAAGTTGCTAAATGTATTTATTCAGATTATCGTCAAATTAGTATAGCAGATTTACCAGGTAATTTATTTATGCTTTAAATGAGAGTTTTTTTTGTTTGCACATTGAAAAGTTTAGAGGTTAAGCGTTTGCGCGCTAAGACCCGAAGGTCCTGGTGTGGTGTGTGCTACTTATCCGAACGATATAAGTAGTATAAGAAGGGACGTGAAAGAAGAAGTATTTGCACGGTCAGAAGAGGAAAACGGAAAGCAAATGGAGCAAAAGCAAGAAGTAAATGGAGTACCAACAGAGGAAGGAAAGGAAGCAACATCAGGAATCGAAGAAGAAGGATGGAGCGTTGGAAGTCACGACTCAAAGATGGTGTGCAAATAGAGTGGTGTTCAATGTAATGTTTTCGTTTTGTTGGGCAATTCCTCTTCCAATGTCCGGTTCCTCCGCAAATATAGTATTTATTATTATTTCTTCCACCCTTTATTCGCAACGCTGCCAACTCGCTTTGTAACTCTTCTATCTTCTTTGCGACATCATCCGCCTGTCTCTCACACGCCACCGAGGCAACTGTTGGGTTCATCAGCTGTCTCGTTACTTTTGCCAGCTCGGTGACGTCCATTGGTTGTGCTGCGTTCACCAGTCTCAAATGCTTGGCAACCTCTGCAGGCACACTTCCAATGAATTGCGACTCCTCATCCAAATTCGGCAGACCCCGGCGCAGTAATCTTGTCAACTCCACAGCCAGCACGAGTGGGTCGCCATCCACCGACAGTCGCGCCTCTCGGAACTTCTGCAACGCGTCCTGCCTATCCGCCGGGCTGTCGAACTCCACCAGCAGCCTTTCCGTCACCACCTCCCAGTCAGCGTCCTCCACACCATCGTACACCGCCCTCGCCCTGCCTCTTAGTAGAGTCCCCAGCACCACCGCCTTCTCCCTCCGTTCCTTGACTCCGACCAGCTCCGCCACGGCCTCGAACTCCTTCAAGAACCCCCTTACATCTCCGTCTTCAAACTCCCGAGGCCATGGGATCTTCATCCTGTGTAGAGGCAGCGACACCAATTGAGAAGACTGAGGCAGGCGAGGAAGATTGTATTATGCAAATTTACACTCTGAGTTAGTTAAAAACGAAAACATTACATTGAACACTCTATTTGCACACCATCTTTGAGTCGTGACTTCCAACACTCCATCCTTCTTCTTCCATTCCTGTTGTTGCTTCCTTTCCTTCCTCTGTTGGTACTCCATTTACTTCTTGCTTTTGCTCCATTTGCTTTCTGTTTTCCTCTTCTGACCGTGCAAATACTTCTTCTTTCACGTCCCTTCTTATACTACTACTTATATCGTTCGTATAAGTAGCACACACCACACTGGGTTCGAATCCTGCGAGGTGCAGAAGTCGTGGATGCGTGCACTGCCACTGATGAGTAGTAATCTCATACCAGGACAAAGCAGCCGTCTTTCAATGCTTCCAGGTTTCTAGTGATAATGGTCTAATAATGATTGATTTATGATTTCAATTTGTTCATTCTTAAATTATTTTTTCTTTGAATAAAAAAACCGTAGATTGATCAAAGTTAGGCATCAATACTGTTGGATATGTTTGGGGACGTTAGATCCCCCAGAACTCACTTGATAAAGGTCTTAATTTTGGATGTTTTGTGTTTTCGCGGCTGTACTGATCCGTTGACCTTGAGATTACATTTCCCAGTCGGAAAATCCTTGACTGTCATTGGTTGATGTGTTATTTTTATTTAGTACGCTATTTTTGTGACCTTCTCAAGGACGTTTCTATCATGTATAAAAATAATCTCGATTTGTGTGTTTATCGACGACGATTTTCTGGGTGCTTGTGGAATACAGTTTCTACATCTTGTCAAGACTTCTTCCTCTATTTAGTGGGGCCTTGGGACACTCATATTGTGGTGCGAGCTACTTATAAGTAGTATATGACGTGAGTGTAAACGTAATGTCTGGCAGCAGAATATGGGGGAAGATCAAGAAAGGAAGAGTTATAAGAACACAATGGAATTTGTATGAAACGCATGAATAGTGACAATGGATTAACGATGTTTTGCAACAGGAACAGTCCAGCTCGATATGATGGATTGATATTTTTCAAATGAACGATTTACGATATGGTTTTCCAAATTTACTGAGTAACTCTGTAATTTTCGCTAATCACAATCCGGTTGCCCCACCTGTGTTCTCGTTCACTACAATATTAGAGTAGCTAATAGTGTCACTGGATCATTTATCTTCGCTCTCGTTTACTAACTAAGGTGAACTCGTAGTAGTTTGAACCGTATCAATCGACCAGCATAACGGGATGCCACCGGCTCAATGGTCAGTTTAGATGTGAAGCGTTTCGTATGCTCAAAATACCGAAGGTCCTGTGGATGCGCACTGTTCATTGATGAGTGCCATTGTAGGACGAAAACAGCGATCCATTGCAGTAAGGTTTTCAATGATAGTCCAATAATAATGGATTTATAATTTGAGCTTTAAAAATTTCAAAACTGAAATTCAAATTTCTGTTGAATTCATTTTCTTTAAGTCAGTTACTCCACTAACTTGGAAATTATTAAAAACAAGACTGCCTACTGAATATCAAAAAAGTAGTTTGCATAGTACCTTGAAATAACTTATCCTGCCCCTTAATTATTTATTATTTTTTATTATAAAGTTGTGAAGATTGTTGAGTTTCATTGAAATAACCGATCGATCATTGTTAGCAATCATTAGAAACGTGCAATCACCGGACGGGCCGTTTCGTCTTAGTATGGCAATCAGTGAACTTCCACGTTCCCCGCTCGAACGCTTAACCTCTAGACCACTGAGTTGGTATCCGACGGTTTTAATATCTAACTTTAATTAATCCAAGGTGTTGATCAACTTCACCTAATGACTTCGGTAGAAACTGCCTCACACCTAACAGGATCGTACTTCGCTGATCACAGCTTGTCACTAGAATTCCGAGCATCTCCTCCAAAGGCTAGTGTAGGCAGTTATCTACCGAAGACAATGGGTGATGGATTGATTGGAGTTAAACAAACACTGTCGAATGCCGACTCAACGCTCTACAGCTTAAACGTTCGTGCACGAGATCTAGGGCCCTGGGTTCAATTTTCCGCGAGCGATGATCGTAGATGCGCATGGCCGCTGATGAATCACATACTCGGACGAAACAGCCATTCATTGCTTATTGGTTTCTAATGGTGTGGTCTCTCTTTAAAAATTGATTGAACATTTCATTCTATTTCATCTAGGTCTTGCTGATATCTATGCTGATTATGATGTACAAACCAATCAGAATAATGCTGATAATAATAACAGCCAATCAAATTCAACTTCAATTTTACCAAGTTTAAAACATACCAATTTTTTAAAACATGTTGAACGTAGTTCATGTATACTACTGGTGTTAGATTCACTTGGTTTTTGTAAAAATCAATTCAGTCATCAACGTAATGCATTAGCTGTGGCTTATTTAATTTTAAATCAAATGGAACGTTGGTCTAATGGTTTATTACTGGAAAAACCAATTGCATGTATATTAAATAAAGTTAGTTTATTGATTGGTTGATTTGGATTTGGTTGACTAAACTTATGAATTGTTGATCAAATGTTAGACTAGTTCATATTAAGTCGGCGACAATGTAGAACACGAAGGGTGAATTCGTTGCTTCAAGACTGGGTTGCATCGGTACCTAAACTAGTGATAGTGAGTGAAGTAGTCGAACGTGTAGTCCGCTTCACTTATCTAGGGAGTATCATCAGTGCCGATGGCCTGGTGACTGACGAAATATCAGCTCGGATACAGAAAGCTCGATTGGCTTTTACCAACCTGCGTCACTTATGGCGTAGGCGTGATATCCGTTCGCTAACCAATGGACGGGTGTACTGCGCAGCAGTTCACTCCGTTTTCCTATATGGAAAGGAAGATGTCAGTTGCAACGTAGAACTTCGTACGTATGTACATAAGTTCATGTTGACATACCACATTAACACAGAGACACAAATGTCAAATCAAATCCCATAGTGATAAAGATAGTAGAGGTATTAATGGTAATGAAGAAAACTAGGGTTTGTTGATATTATTCAAGAAGTATAATTGAACGAGATAAGGTTAGAAAGATAAAGGTAGAGGTGCTGACGATTCTAGAAGATTATGATTTGAGAGAGCTCAAAGAATGGATGCATTTGCGCCATTGCAAACGATTCCGAGCCATGTCATTCAAGGTCTCTAACCATTGGTGACTTTCGTCTCGCGGACCCTAACCAAGTAGTCTACATCTACCAACATGACTCAGTCCACTAGTCAGTGATTTCATGAATTTGTGCCATGTTTTGGTTTCGTCACCCTTAGCTTTCTTCCAACCTACTCTTACACCACAAAACATAGCTCGTTGCGGCAGTCGGTGGTTAGGTATACGTATAACTACCTCAAATAATGAAGTTACAATACTTCCTTCGTCTATTGATTTGCCATCCCTACCTAGTACTCGGTTCTTAGCGACAGCTTTGCTTACTCGGTGGTCCCACGGTATACGAGCAATGCTTCTTAAACATCTATGATCGAATACTATCCTCCTTGGAAAGGAACATACAAGACAGAGTAGGTTGAAGAATGCTAGTCGGTGGCCTATGCTCCACAACTGGGGGTAACAGGTGTAAGGTAGTATTGGTTACTTATTTTCTCATATCATCTTACAATAATTTTTGTCAATAACTCACACTAAATTAATTGATCATTCCTTACACATGCCTTAGATTGATGCTACCGGTGCAATGGATGCAGCATTAGAAACAAAATATTTTCTTGAACGTATGGATTCATCAGAAGCAAAACAATATTCACAACTACCTCCAACATTATTACCTAGTCTTACACCGAAATTTGAATCAATTGAATTAGTGTCTGCTTTGCATCATACAAATATTCCAGGTAATAATAATTGATCAATATTTATTGATCGATTGAATTTAAAGTTTGCTACTATCTGTACTCTTGTTATTATTATTATTATTATTGTTATTATTATTATTATTGTTAGTATTAGGCAATTGCTCATGAATAGTCAACTTTTATGTTAATTAAAAGTTGAACCATCAAATCTAATCCTATTATCACAACCATGAAGAACAAAAGGAGCAATTTCACTGACATTAATGCTAAAAACTGGTGCATCCGGCAGTGAAAAGAGTCTGTCCTTCCTCTGCAGCAGTAGGTCTCAACATACATAAAGGAAATAGCGAAATTCTCCGATGCAACACAACATGCACCAACCAAATCACTCTTGATGGAGATGACTTGGAGGACGTTAACACCTTTACATATCTGGGCAGCATTATCGACGAGAAAGGTGGATCCGACGCAGATTTGAGGGCGCGTATTGGCAAAGCAAGGGCTGCATTTCTACAGTTGAAAAATATCTGGAACTCCAAACAACTTTCAACCAAAACCAAAATCAGGATTTTCAATACAAATGTCAAGACAGTTCTACTACTCTATGGAGCGGAAACTTGGAGAACTACGAAAGCCATCATCCAGAAGATACAAGTGTTCATTAACAGTTGTCTACGCAAAATACTTCGTATTCGTTGGCCAGACACTATCAGCAACAACCTAGTGTGGGAGAGAACCAACCAGATTCCAGTGGAGAAGGAAATCAGCAAGAAGTGGTGTAAGTGGATAGGACACACACTACGAAAAGCGCCTAGCTGCGTCACAAGACAAGCCTTCACATGGAACTCTCAAGGCAAAAGGAAAAGAGGAAGGCTAAGGAACAACACATTACGCCGAGAAATAGAGAAAGATATGAGAGGAACGGACAAACTTTGGATAGAACTAGATAAGGAAGCCCATGACAGAGTTGGTTGGAGAATGCTGCTGGTGGGCGGCCTATGCTTCATTGGGGGTAACAGGCGTAATTAAGTAAGTAAGTCATCCTTCTCGAAATGCTGTTATGGCCACGCGTATATAGTCCACTGCCAGGGAATTCATGCTTACTGCCTTTTCGTGGCAGCATTGATGTTAACGAAATTCAGAGGACAAAAAGCGAATGTCTGGCATTTAAGCTGCGTTAATTAATACGGCGGATCAACCTAGAGGAGTTGGAAAACCATGATTTCAATTCATTGGTCCACATGAGCTCAAGGATCCTTATGGAACTAACGGTGTTTGAACCTATTGTTGATCACTGGCTACCATGAGATTGCATCTCCTGACGCTGTTCCATTTTTTTGTTGTGGATTAGACTTTTGGGTCAAACAATCGCAGAGTGGTGTTCGCCTAAGACAAAATCACCCAATTCGGTTTTGCACACTCAGACAGTATTCTAGCCCATACACAAGTTCTAGTTTGGTCTCGTGTGGTGTTACGGGTATGAGGGCGGTTGTCACTTCCCGGCTGCTCACACCGTGTAAGGTTGTTTCTTGAGGAACCTGAAAAGGAAGGTAGATTAGTGTTGGTCTTAATAACATGGAAGCGTGACCGCAGAGCACAAGGGACAACTGCTTGGGGCCTGTCACGCACGGCCTTTTTATGAAAGGTTTTTTCAGTATTAGCTCTGTTTTTGAAAGCCCTTAGTGGGCGCCCTTACTGCCAGAGACGGAAATCCGTGAGGTAGGGTGAGGTGTGACAGCTTTAGGGTCGACCTTTTCTAACCCTTCCTTCTTTGTGAGAAGGCGGAAACATCGCTGCAGATGCTGGTTGTCCGAGGTAAACACCTTACTGCTGTCACACACCTCTGCAGTCAGCAGTACGACTTCGCCCTCAGACCTTGAGTAGCTGCTTTTAGTCTCATCGTTCTCCAATCAACCTGCCTGGCATGGTGGGTCATCACGATAGGCAAGCACGACCACCACGTCAAGGTAGCAGCTACGGTCGGGATTTTAATTCTAACCTGAATTCCTCATAATCTCTATCTTTCTCCTAGTAAATTTATCTTACTGAATTATACTTGTCGTATCATATTTTTTCTCTCTAATCTTCTCCATTGCTGCTAATAATTCTACTATGGCTATCACTCCTGGATCTGAACTGACAGTTACGTCTCTGTGCTGACGTGGTATGGCAACCTGAACTAATGTACTTATGAACGAAGTTCTGCATTGTATCTGTCTGTCTATCACTCCACACACAAGTTCACTGATTTATGGGGCGCGCAAAAATAGTTAGGTGTCCTTTAGTATCAGTAATGATTTCTCCTAAAAATGACAACAATAAAATATCACGAACCCGATGACTGGAGTTAAAAAAATTAATTACTAAATACTGATCCAGTCGTGTAAAAGTTAATCGCTCTGAGAAGACTGAAGCAGGTGTGGGAGATTGTATTATGCAAAGGTTACACTCTGAGTCAATTAAAAACGAAAACATTACATTGATTAAACGCTCTATTTGCACACCATCTTTGAGTCGTGACTTCCAACGCTCCATCCTTCTTCCATTCCTGTTGGTACTCCATTTACTTCTTGCTTTTGCTCCATTTGCTTTCCATTATCCTCTTCTGACTGTGAGACTTCTTCTTTCACGTCCCCCTTCTTATACTACTACTTATTTCGTTCATATAAGTAGCACACACCACAGCTCCACCACATGACCTAAAGATTCATGGTTCAATCTCTTTGACCAGTTAGTGGATGCACCTCATTGAAGATTCTCATGCTAGCATGAAACAATTATCCATTACTTCCAATTATTCAATAAACTGTATAACTTTGATCGTTTCTGTGAGTTAAATAGCTTCTTGATTTAAAAAACAGATCAATCTAATTGTTTATTTGTTTTTCTTTTAGAATTAAAACAATCCTTACGTAAATGGCTTGATCAAATTGAATTAAGAAAACGAAAAGATGATAAAACTGTACAAACAAAAGAATTACAATACTTAAATGATATTCAACCAACTTATTATTAAAGGATGATATCTCTCTTCATTAAGTTCGTTTTTTTGTTTCTTTGATTGGTCCAAGAAAAAAAAAACTCACATTTACGCACTACATTCATTCATTCACTTGTCTTTGTGTGTATGTGTGATTAGTTGTGCATGCATAGAAATGAAAATTTTTATATTTTCCTATTTTTTCTTTATGGTATATCAAGTAGAGGGGACACCCGAGTGAGCAACGCTGTTATTAGGAAACGGGTACTAGGTAAGAATGGCAGATCAATAGATGAAGTGCTGAAACTTCATCAGTTGAGGTAGTTGGGACATGTGTTGCGTGTATGCCTAACCACCGACTGCCTCGACGAGCGATGTTTTGTGGTGTAGGAGGAGTAGATTGGAAGAAAGTTAGGGGTGTCCAGACCAAAACATGTCAGAAATCCATGAAGTCATTGACAAGTGGACTTAGCCATGTTGGTAGTTGTCGACTACCTGGTTGGGGTCCACGAGATGATAATAATCGATGGTTAGAGACCCTGAATGACATGGCTCAAAATCGTTCGCAATTTGCGCCGGTGCATCCACTCTTTATGTTCTCTCAAATTCTAATCTTCTGGATTCTTCGACCCCTGTAGTTTTGACTTTCTAAACTTTTCTCACTGAATCATACTTCTTGAATAATAATATCTTCTAATCCTAACCTATCCGATTACTTCTAATACATTTACTACCTATTCTACTATTGGATTTGAATTGACAATTACATCTGTGTGCTAATGTGGTATGGCAACATGAACTAATGTACTCATGTACGAAGTTCTACGTTGCTTCTGACTGACTGTGTGTGTGTGTTGTATGTATATATGTATTCCGGGCCCTGCCAGCATTTAATAGACTTCAGAAAAGTTTTTATTAGATCACAGAACCTATGAGAAGAACTAAATTTTTCACAAAAAGCTTTTGTTTCATCTTAGTTTCATATTTGGCAGCTGACAAATCCCACTGTTCGTTATCACAACATCGGGGCCAAAGAGTCAAGATCCTGTTGCATACGTTTTCTTACCACTGCTCATCGTTATCCAAAATCACGGATAATCAGCTGTCCTGAATTTGGGACTAGTTTGTTATTGATTGTTTTAGTTCACAGCGCGAGAGGTAGTCTTTAGTACAGATCCAATATCTTTTTCACGAGCTAGTGTAAACCAATTTGATTTCTTCGCGCTCTATTCTTGTTCTTTCGGTACGGTTCCAGGTGTTCCGTAATGTCCAATCGATGGAGGTCTAGCCACTCGACTGTCTAATTCTAGTCAGTTGGTTGTGAGTTTGTATGTCTCGGGACAGAATGTGTTCCAAAGATCACTTGAGGACTTGAAGCCTTAGCATAATCTCTTGGATCAAAAAACCGACATCATGACGGATGCTGTTTGATCCAAGCAAGTGTATGTCAGTAGTTTGAAGACGACGCTGTTTGTTAACGTTACGTTGCTGTGCGAATGTCGTTTACCTTAGCTTGAAACAGTTCTTTCTCATAATTTCAATCATTTGAAGGTTAGTGTCCTGCTTTCAGCTATGAACTATAGTTGTACGCCATAAGACGACATAAGGAACTGAATAACGCGATTTCATGTCACCGTAAAAGCAATCGTTATTCGTAGAACCGACTAAACATTCCAATGGTCTCTAGATGACGTTGCTGAAATGCCAAACACTATCGACCCGGTCTTATTCATCACAGGAATTGTTTCAGTCATTTGTTCTAGCTCTGAATACTCTAATAATCGACGGTTTCCGTGATTGAAAGTAAATTTAAGGTCATTATACAAGGAACACCTCAGTGATGTTTGCTTTTAATCGTTCCATCTGGTCTAACTGCTTTGATCTCGATTTTTATAGTCACAGTACCAAATGAAATGGGTGTATAAATTCATATATTTTTCGGTCGTCTGTAACAGTAATTATGAGGAGCATAGATCAGTTTATGATTTCTGTATAAGATCTTACTTGTTTGGCATTATTTAGCTTTTCACTAATCAGTCGGACTCATCGAATATTAGAAGTAATCAGAAACTATGGGGATCGACCAATCAGAATAAAGTCCCTCATAAGGGTACCTAATACTATGCAGTGTCATATTATACTTGATGAATTTGGTCTCCATAGCGTATGAGACACTGGTTCGATGGCTGTTCCTGAAGAAACAGTTTCTGGATTTCCTGAATTTTATTGGTTTGTATGGATATTCATTAGACTGAAAGGAGTATCAGGAACATTCCAAATAGTTACTAACTTCTTTCTATAGTGTGAATGCTAATGTCAACAACGCAAAATTACACTAGAAAATAAAAAACTGTGATTGGTTTTGTTTATGGTACTACTGATGCATTAATATTAACTTGAAATCTGAAAATTACCCTGGCAAACCGACTTTAAGCTAATGAAATAATAACGTGACCCCAAAAACTTGCACCGTCAATTTTGTTAAAGCATAAAAAAAGAGTTGATTAGTAGAACACGCTTTTTCTTCGTCTGGCAAAATAAGAGGAGTTGCTAGAGAACTTTTTGAATTCACTTAGACAAACCAAGCAGCTGAAATGTTAAAATTTCGCCAAACTAAAACCGATATCTTGTTTCACATCTATCGAGCACAGTTCTGTCTACCATTGAATGCTGGGTTAGGACGCAAAACAAGATTTACTTGGACAGCTACTACATATTTAAGGTAAAACAGGTTCAGATATTTTCGTTGAAATTGTGTGACTGTAATTTCCAAGGAAATCTAACAGGAAACTCTTGAGATAAGGGAGCCTGTGAAGCCCGTGACATCGTAATGTATTTCGCAACTGGTTGTGTTCTTTTCAAAACATCTGCAACTTACTAAAACTACAAAATTTACTTCTTGGTGAGCGAAGAAATATTAACTCCTTCAAAAATTAGAACCAGGAGTTGGATCACTTTAGTCCAAATCTTAGGTCCAGGACTAAAACAGCCATCATTATTATTGGATTATAAAAACTTAGTTCTTCCCTGTGTTTTCTCTCTGCTTTAGAATGTCAGAGAGATGAAATGTACTATATTTTGACCTGACACAAAGCGCTTTACAAAAATAATTTAGAGAATGTTTGCAAAGTCAAAGAAGTTTGATAGATAAATTCAGAGCTGGGATCGCATTATTCGGCTGTAGCCATCGTAAATATTTCCTTATTTTATAAAATATATTATTCCATCGCCTTACTCTATCGAACTTTCTGTGTTTTTTAAAAAGTAAGCTTGAGTGTAGAATTATGATCTATGGTGTGTGTTCGACTTTAGATCAGATAGAATTAACATTAACTACATTACAATCAGGATATAAATCTGGGATATTGACACGTGCACTAACATTGCCCTTTGAATTAAGCCATATATATTCGCTATAAATATGGATTTTATATGCGTTTGATGGCATTGAATGTTATTTTCACAGAACGAATCTACTTTGAATGAATCTTTCTACTGTCCGCACAACAGTCTTTCATAGTTTGTAGGGAACCATACACCATCCACGACTGATGTGGATTTTCCTTCAGAGCCTTCGGAAAAATGACTCGGGAATCTTAACTATTCAACACTTGTAGTAAAATTTTTAATGGGTATTTTACTCATTTCGTCCATTTTGCTGGATAAATGAATTCCGATTCACGTTATACCTTGTTCTCTTATAAACTAATATAGATGTACTCAAGTGAATTCTGGTAAGTTTGTTGGACTATTCGTCGTCAACCACATCAGTCATCTCAACTGCAGATCTGACAACTACGTTTTCTAACGCTCCAGGATTGTCAGACATAAGTTCATCACTGCTTGACACATGAAATTCGAAGAAAATATTTTGTAGACATTTCGGTATGTACGAGGAAACCTGAAACGTTTATCTCACATCAGCCGTACGTGAATAACCATTTTGCTGATGGTTAAAAATATAACTTCCGTCTCTAACCTCCTGAGTCTTTTCTGGCTGATCTCTGCAAATTTGGCGGACATCACTTTCCTTGGTTTTGTGCAGAATTTGAAACCCTATTATTAGGTAGTGTGTGGAGGATTTTGACGCATTACTCCGGTTTACTTGAACGTATGTTGAACAACTTAGTTGTTCGTTGAGGATGTTATAAGATGAACCATTGCCGATCCCACTGCAGTTGGACAATTGGACTTTCACTCATGACACAAACACGGAATCCATGAGTACGAACAAATGGTTATTAACTTGAAATATTACTGTTTGTTGCTGAAGATGCCATGAACAATCAGAGTTTGACAACGCTTGTGTCTATAAAATCTTTATAATCGTAAACGCCAAAATCCACTCAAAAAAGCAGTCAAGAATGGATATCGAAGGCATATTTGAAGGAGAGTTGGGATATTGAAAAGCAAATGATCTAAGTGTGGCCAGCTGGTGCAGTCAAACGAGTATCACGCCGTTCAGAACGGTGATCCCGAAGGGACACGTAAGCGCGCCAAATCATCCTAACGTAAGCAACCTCGAGAAATTGCGCTTCAAACGGCATCCAACCATGTTTGTACACAAATTTTCTCATTAAGAGTTTTTAGAACTTGAAATGCTCTCCTAACCGAAGTGACCGCAGCCTCCACAGTGGACAGGTTTAAGATAAGACTTGGTTAACACGATATCATAAACGGATTATCACCTCCCTCGTGAATCAGCGTTGTCTGATGCATGTCTTGAGACCTGCTTGTGGTTATTATTGCCATTTCCTCAGATCATTGACTCAGTCTTTCTCGCCTATTATCTTATTTTCCTTTCCCTCACTTACACTTCGGTTCTCTCGCACAATCTTCATTAGGAATTTATAAACTTAGTTGTCCATTATTTACTTAGTCCTGAAATCTAACTATTATTAGCGTTAGAATTTTCTCCTTATTACTCTCTACCTTGCAACTAACTGATCTACGGACTGATATTGTGACAGCAGCTGGTATCCAGAAACCCTATTTCCCTGAAACAGATGTATTCATTAAAATCTCGGGGCATGCAAACTCACGACCAACTGCCAACTGATTAAAGTTAAACTGTCGAGTGACTAGACTCCCATCCATTGGACACTACCAAACACTCGGAACCGTATTTAAAGAAAAATAATAGAGTACAAAGAAATCAATCGGTTTATACTAGCTCGCGAAAAGATATTGGGTATTGAATCATGTGATGTTACCCGAACTAAAAAAGCCTTGAGATAATCATGGCAGATTTTCAAACGTCGAGTTACGCGACGCGCTCGGAGCTTTGTGTTGTTAACTTAGATATGGTAAGAAAAGCCAAGAAAGGCGTTTACTTAAAATGCTGTTAATTTGTAACGTCAGTGAATTTCAACGAATTCTTTTTGTAACCAAGTTTTGATTCACCGTTTTCATTTTTTTTTAATTCCAGATTCGTTAACATATGCGACAGTATATACTGTGCTTTTCACACGCACCTCAAAGTCTTTATAAAAATCGAACGTTCCGTTTATTTTGTATCTTTCGACATATATGTCTTCAGGATGTTTATCAATAAAGATATTCTCTTTAGACTATTACTTCTCATCGCCACATGATCAACTGGATATAGGTTATTCAAAGTTTTCAAGATGTTATTCAAATCGTATTCCAGTTATTCGAGTTTACGGCACCACGCACACAGGTAATTTCAATGCGCCCTCTAGAATATTTTCAGGCCAGAAAATATGTGCCAACATACATGGGGTTTTGCCGTACATTTTTGTTGAACTGCCAAATATTGATTCAGATATCAATGATTTCGTTCATTCATTTGTTCTTAGCCTTGAGAAGTCAATTCGTACAAAGCTGAACACTCCCAATGTTAAAGACGTCATTGTTTTCGACGCTTCGGTGGTATCTGGTTTGTATGTTAGATTCTTTTTTCACCTCAGTGTAGTTCGATATACGGTTACCATGAATCAGAAAAACCTTTCATCAAAATTTACCTCGTGGATCCCAGTCTGGTTTCTTTGTGTTCTGACGTACTGATGAGTGGGGTCGTACTAAATCGTCCTTTTCAAACGTATGAAGCACATATTCCATACTTATTACAGGTTTTCTTGTATCACTTATATTATTTGATTGTAGTTTTGTGTGGATTATAACCTTTTTGGCATGAACTTGCTATATGCTGGATGTTTTAGATTCCGTAGTGAGTGTACAGATTCGTTTATTGCTTGTAGCTTCAAATTATCCAGGATTTCCATCGTTAGTAAAAAGTTCGGAATATTCTTGGAATCCCGTAAACTCTAACTCGTAAGTTAATAAACCTGTATTTCACATTTTAAATACTAATTGTTTCATGGATAGGCAGTGGGATTTAGGTTTTACTATGTGCCTGAAGCTTTTCACAACCTACCTTCAATTTGTTAGCGTTTTTCTGTCATAAATCATTTTAAGTATTTGTGTTTCTTGATACAATAAGGTGATTTTTTCTTCTGTTTCTCCACTCTCTGTTTACTCTGTCTATCCACCATAATTTTGGCATCTCAACTCTCATCTAAGTTGTCGAAATAGAGAATAACTGGTTCCAATGGTTTAGTGATTTCAAATTCAAGGTTAACTGATATTTCTCCACTATATGGTACTTAAACCCAAATTAATACCAGTTGGTAGTATCCCTCTGTTGTTTTGGAGAATATGGCGTTTTGGAGTTGTTAATGTACAGAGTACATCCGTCGGTGTCGCTGTAAGATGCTTGCATAGATCAACAGTTGAACTGTTGTTTCAATTCACCATCATGTTTCTTGTGACTAGTTAGTGTTTACTTAGTTTGTCATGTTTCTAATGCTTAGTTCTGTATTTTCCCAGTTCATCATAAAAACATCAAATTTTAAAAGGTAATGAAGTAGTAAACAAAGATATAAATACCGTAATGATTAAAAGCTATCAGGTAATTCGTTGAAATCTACTACTAAAATCGACTGTCACCGAGAGGATGTCATATAACAGTTGTAACTTCTGGTGTATTTTCATTCAATAGGCGATATCCCGTCAACTCTTTACTATATTAGGAAGGTCACTGGTCAGTGAATTTATGACGTGGTTCCCTAACATCCATTGATATCTTTAAGCCATCCAGCATCGTATATTAAAATAATCAGTCTTTGGATAAAATCTTCTTTAATCGATAAGCTAGCTAATGTATAAAACTATTCATGTTATGTAATTATTTTACGATCCATCCCTTCGACCAAACTATTCGTTGTTCGTAGTGTCATAGCTTAACTACACAGTAAACTGAGTCACTAACTCAGTGCTTTTTTTAGTACTTCAAATTCTATATCGATAAAATCAATGCACACTCGTTTTCGGTCGTCATATTAATAGTTTTGGTAGCCCAAGTTGGTAATAACTGGGTATGAACCCTAACAACCTGATAAATCACTAGCCTCACGAATGTTTTAGAAAATCCTCCTCTCAATCATAACCTCTTATTTTTTTAGAGGCTTTTGGCCGTCTAACTAAGTCACATAAGTTACTACGAAGCACAATGCTCTCTGTTCCGTTTGGGTTAAGAATAGGTCACTAGGTAAGGATAGCAAATCAATCAATGGGGTAGTGAATATTCATCGATTGAGGCGGTCGCGACATGTGTTGTGTATGCCAAACCATGTTTTCTGTAAATCTTTTACAATCTGTTTTTTATAATACTTCTAAATGGTGTAAACAAGAATTGGTCTCTCGTGCTGTTACGGGTATGAGGGCGGTTGTCACTTCCCGGCTGCCCACACCGTGGAAGGTTGTTTCTTGAGGGACCTGAAAAGGAAGATAGATTATTGTTGGTCTGAACGACCTGCGAGCGTAACCGCAGAGCCCAAGGGACAACTGCTTGAGGCCGGTCACGCACGGCCTTTTTATGAAAGGTATTTTGAGGATTAGCTCCGTTCTTAAAGGCCCTTAGTGGGCACCCTTACACAAGGAGACGGAAATCCGTGAGGTAGGGTGAGGTGTGACATTTTTATAGTCGACCATTTCTAACCCTTCCTTCCTTGTGAGAAGGCAGCATCGCTGCAGATGCTGGTTGTCCAAGGGAAACACCTTACTGCTGTCACATCCCTCTGCAGTCAGCAGTACGACTTCGCCCTCAGACCTGGGGTAGCTGCTTTTAGTCTGATCGTTCTCCAATCGACCAGCCTGGCATGGTAGGACCTGCAGGAACATATGTTCCAGCCAGTATAGCTCGGTTGGGTCATCACGATAGGCAAGCCTGACCACCACGTTAAGGTAGCAGCTACGGTCGGGTAGAATTGTCTAACAGGTAGATAGATATATATAAGATATGTAAGCTAAATAAATTATGGGTTCTTCAAATGGGATATTTCAGTGGAAAGCATAATGAAAATAAGCTTTTCAGGAGAATTTATTCGATAGTCGACATGAATCAAGCACTTTTTTGTGTGGCTAGGCTGTTATTCTTATCAGTTGACTGGAACGAATTCGCTCTCAACTAATTTATCATAGTTATAATGATTAGGAAATGTGAATTTTCACATCTTACAAGCTACAGTATTTATACGTCCAGATTATTTTCTTTGCTTATATATATATATATATATATATATATATATATATATATATATATATATGTTAGTCATTTCCATAACTAATTGTAGGTTATGTCATAACTAACCAATCAAATTGTAGTTTAAGCGTTCACCACGTGATCTGATTTGACGTGTCTGTAAACTTTCTTTGTTGTAAATGACCTCTACTAATTGAAGGACATTATTATCTTATTATTATTGATGTGACTCATCATAGTTTTATTCATTTCCATAAGACACGCTACTATCGGTCGAAATAGATAAAGTTTAAAGAAAAACTGGTCTTGTTCTGACCCTATAGCTTTCCCATAGACTCTGTGCTCGCCAATATTGCGTTTACAGTTCTAGAAGTACATCTGTCAGTCAGTCAGTTGCAACGTAGAACTACGTACGTATGTACATAAGTTCATGTTGCCATACCACATTATTAACACAGAGACGCAAATGTCAAATCAAATCTCATAGCGTGATAAAGATAGTAAAGGTATTAATGGTAATGAAGAAGACTAAGGTTTGAAGATATTATTCAAGAAGTATTAATTCAGTGAGTGAGATAAGGTTAGAAAGACAAAGGTAGAGAAAGTGCTGACGATTCCAGAAGATTAGGATTTTTAAGAGAGCTCAACGAATGGATGCACTTACGCCATTGCAAACGATTTTGAGCCATGTCATTCAAGGTAGAAGTACATCTGTAGGACAAATTAAACCCTACAATATATATGTCCCGAAAAAATGAGGTGCGTTTTGATTAAAATGTGTATTCATGATCATTATTGAACAATTAAATAGTAGATTACTTGTATTTTTGTTTAGAACAAACATAATCTTGTCAAAATTATTTATTTATATATTTATTCAGGGAATATCTATCATCAGATTGTATTTCAAAATGTACAAGTATGGAATTAGAAGTTGATATATCTGCTTGGGATATATTAAATCGTCGAGATTTAAAAAGTTTGTTATCATAATGTTATACTTTCACTTTTTCAAATTTTTTTTCATTTAAATGAATTCAAGTTTTGGTTTTATTATTTTGACCTCGTACAACAGAGAGTGAGGGAAGTTTATTCTTTCTCTTAAAGCGCCATGCATCTATAGCTACCCCCAGGGAACTCCTACTCCCTGCCTTCTCTTTGCATAGGTGTTGTTCACAAAAATATGAGGACCAAAAAGCAAATATACAACACTTTAACCACGTTCGTGCGTACGGGAAATCCGCCTACGTTAGCTGGAAAACCCTGAGTCTAAATCAATCTTGTACACGGTCTCCAGGATCCTGATGAAATTGACGGTGTATGGACGTTTTGTCGGCCACAAGTTATCATGATGCTGCATCTCCTTACGTTACTCCACTGCTTTATAGATTAGACTTGTAGGTCAAAGACTCATTGAGTGGGCCCTTAAAAATACCACCCACTTCGGTTTGGGCACCCATACAGTATCTCATTCCACTCTCAAATTTAATAATTTTCGTAGCGCGTCAATATTTAGGTGTCCCTTTGTACCAGTATTCATGTGTTTAAATAAAATAATAAAATATTGATAATTACCTCGGTCAGTCAGCTATAGGGTAGAACTTTGTACGCACGTACATCAGTTCCAGTCGCAAAACGACATTAGCACAGAGATGCAGTTGTAAATTCAACCCCCATAGTGGTAGCGATAGTAGTAGTATTAGCGGTAATGGAGAAGATTATTGTTCGAAGATATTATTCAAGAAGTATAATCCGAGGAAATAAATTTAAAAAGACAACGATAGAGGTGATGAAGAATCCAGAAGATCAGAATTTGAGTGAAAGCAAACAATGGATGCATCTGCGCTATTGCGAACGATTTTGAGCCATGTCGTTCAAAGTCTCTAACCGTCGATTACTGTCGTCTCGCAGATCCCAACCAGGTAGCCTACATCTACCAACATGACTTGTATTGTTAGTTTAGGCACTTACCACGGTAGGATACCGACTCGTCAGTCTACAGACTAAACGTTCATGCATGAGACCAAAACGTCCTGAGTTCGATCCCGTTTGTTCGATCCAGTTGTCAGTGACTTCATGGACTTATGCCATGTATTGGTTTGGCCGCCCCCAGCTTTCTTCCAGCCTACCTCTACATCACAAAACATCGCTCGTCGAGTCAGTCGGTAGTTGGGTATTTGAAACACATGTCCCAACCAACTCAACTGATGAAGTTTCACTACTTCATCTACTGATTTGCCATCCTTACCTATTATCCGTTTCCTAACAACAGCATAATTACGTGTATATATATACATTTTCTATCTATTCTTATATTATGTACTTGTATATTGATATTCACATACATATCCTCTAACTGTTTCTTTCTACCTTGTTCAACACCAAATGTTTTTTTGTTTTGTTTCTAATTGCACAAATATTAAAGATAATTTACCTGTAAATCCTGGCTTAGAAGCTATATGGCATGAAGAGAAAATGCGACGTCAATCGAAATTCAATAGTTCCAATAAAATCTTACCTAAAATGCCTACTCCTGATGAATTGCTACCAGTTAAACGTAAGTTTGTTTACATTTCAGTATGTTACTCATGCACGTGTAAACACGTCAACTTGATATGCTTCCTACTACTACAAGTTTACCTTAGTCGGAAAACAAGAGCGAGGATTGAGGGGATCCGGTGACACGACATGCTACTCTAATCCGATTGTCCCAACACCTCCTATTATAACGCTTGCTTGAATAATTCCCAGCTAACTCCTATTACTTAGTATTCTCTGACCACACAATACACTGGACAAGTTCCAAAGAATCAAAAAACACGGTGGAACAGGAAAAGATTATATTCCAAATAGCAAAGGTTAAATGGAAAATAAGAAGCCAAAGGTGATGGCGAAGGCAAAAATAGATACAACGTTAGTTTCTTCATAGCATTTACATGAGAAGCTTCTGGATAGGAATTCACGTAATCGACTGGATTAGATTTAACCAATCAGCATGCAGCTAACCGTACAAGAATTTTCTACCTTGTTCTCGAAGAATCGATTAGGCGCTGATTGAATAGGAAATTAGCCAATCAGCGAGCAGCTGACGCAGTCATGCTTTGATTCCATCTAAGTGCCACTGACACCTCCCATTGAATCAAAGAAGACTTGATATGAATTAGAATATGTATTCTACATGCATCCAGAAAGTACGAGGTCCGAGTCCAGAAGAGGCCAAGGATCCCGGACTAAGGATCCGGATCATAAAACGTTACAGATAATGCCTATTTATATAGTTAAGTCGAATAGGAAACAACATTTGAGTGTCTGTGACATTGACAGTTAGGACGACCAATAAGAAACAACATTTGAAGTACAGTGACATTGATAACTAGGACGACCATAATATATTGACCAATAGGAATAGACCAATAGAATTAGACTTACAAAAATAATTCTCTTAGGATATTGGATGAATATCCTGACACAACACTTGTTTCCGTTCATCCCTTCATCATTCATTCATTCATTCTATGATTTCCACATGATTTCATTCCATATTTTATACTTTGTCAACCTTTTTTTTTCTTCATTGGTTTCAATTTTCTAAGAGGATAATGAAGTGAAATTATCAACCAGTGAAATGTATCATCTTAATCAATGGACTCATTTAATTCAACTGTTATCTACTACTACTACTACTACTACTACTACTACTACTACTACTACTACTAATACATCTTTACAACTGCAACAAGATGTTAATTATACAGGTAATCAAAAATTGATCATTGAATGAATTAGTTTTTCTGGTTGTTTTTTCTGTTCCGATTCAATTAACCTTGAAACATTTGAATGACTCATTAAGATTAATTCTAAGTTTGTGTGCGTTGAAAATTCATCGAATTGAGCCAATCAGAAGTGGCTAAGCGGGTAAGATACTTATTTCCAACTGGGTATGGTCAAGAAATCGATTCATTTTCTAACAGGGAGACCTTTTAGGTTTTGTGAAACAGTGGTAAAAGGATTCGCCTGAATGAGTTTATTACATGCAATCGTTCACACACACACACACACAGTGAGAGAGACATGAGAATGAATAAGCAGCGTAGAAAGTAAATCGACGTGGAGAAGGCGACTGAGTCAACTCAATGCAATGCATCATGATTAGATATTTATAGTCAGTCGAAGAAGATAAGCTAGACATGTAATAAGCAAAGTAAGCAATGCAAACGCACACAAATTCAAAAGATGAGTGAATAGTAATGAATCGATCAGTAGAGGTTAATTTGTTTCGTCGAAAGCTAGGACAAGTTACATGGGCTCAACATTATTGGCACCGACAGACAGACAGAGAGATACAACACAGAACTTCGTATGTATGTACATCCGTTCAGGTTGCCATACCACAACATTAGCGTAGAGACGCAACTGTCAGTTCCAATCCAATAGTGGTTGGTAGCGATAGTAGAAGTATTAGCAGTAATGGAGAAGATTAAGGTATAATTCAGTGAGATAAAGTTAGAAAGAGAAAGATAGAGATGATGAAGAATTCAGAAGATTATAATTTGAGAGAACAAAAAGAGTGGATGCACCTGCGCCATTGCAAACGATTTTGAGCCATATCGTTCAGAGTCTCTAACCATCGATTACTATCATCTCGCGGACCCTAACCAGGTAGTCGAAACCTATCGATATGACTCAGTCCACTTGTCAGTGACTTCATGGATTGCTGCCTTGTTTTCGTCTGGACGCCCCTAGATTTCGTCCAACTTATTCCTATATCGTAAAACATAGCTTGTCGAGGCAGTCGGTGGTTAGGCATACACGCAACACATGTCTCAACCACCTCAACTGATGAAGTTTCACCACTTCATCTATTGATTTGCCATTCCTACCTAGTACTCGTTTCCCAACGACATCATTGCTTACTTAGGTGTCTCAGGATATACGAGCAATGCTTCGAAGACAAGCAATCTACGAATGTCCTCTACTCTCACCGGTCATGTTTCGCATTCGTATAGTAGAACGGAGCAAATTTCTGCGCAATACACTCGTTCTTTTAGTCAACAAATGGATATTTCGCTTGCTCCATAGTTGGTGACGTGAACTTCTCAAAAGCCAACATATTGGCACACATACCACAAGGTGTTATATATGAATGAATGCAGTTGACTACTTAATTAGTTTATTAAAGACACCATTTTTTAGAAAAAAAACGTGTTTTAACTATTTTTTCGCTTATTTTTCTTGTTCAGAATCATCTGATCTCAATGAGTACATTTCTAATTGGCTTGAATCAAGTCAAACAGACGATGATGATGATGATCATGACGATCATGACGATGTTAATTCTATGAATCATGAAGATGCTGAACATCATCAACTGATTGATCATAGCAACAAACCAGTAGATAGTTTTGATGATAACATTCACAACAATATTCAATTATCCTCCACTACTTGCATTCAACATACACAAGAATCAATTCATTTAAAATCTTTCGTCACCCACAATAACAATAATACTAATAGTTCATCCATTAAAACAAAATCAATCAATAACAGTTTCACTACAATTAGTTCAACTAGTTTAGAATATCTTTGTCATTTAGCCAGTTCCATTGAAGAATTCGATACATGGGTACCAACTTCGGAACAATTAAATCAATTATTTAATAATATAGAATATTCCAAAGAAATTCATTCCACATTGAATGTAACAAATATTGAACCAATTGAACAATTGAACACTCATCATAATGACGATGATGATGATGATGAAGGTTGGACTTGTAGTTCTATTGATTCGTCTAAACATAGAACAATTGATAACAATGTAAGAAATAATGTGTGTTGTAGAGAGATTGCTGAGCTGAGCTACTTGAATCGATCATTGTTAGAGTATGATTGGAAACTTGGAAGCACTTGATGTTTGTTTTGTCCTAGTATGGGACTCATCAGCAGCGCGCATCCACAACCCCCCCTGCTCGCGAGAATCAAACTATAGGACATTCGGCCTCGTGCATGAACGTTTAACTTTTGGACTACTGAGCTGGTGGCATCCAATGGTGTGAATGTCTCGGAAAAACACGGCCGTCCAGGCTTCTAATGATGGTCTAACGATAATCGATTCATGATTTCAAAGTTATTGATTATTAGTCTATTCTTAATTTTGATTTTTTTAAATTTATGAAAGTAGATAGATATGTGGTGATTGAAGATGAGTTTGTTTTGTTAAGTCAACTCTACTTGGAGCCGGTCCCAAGCCCGGACATCCATCCCATAGAAAATTAACTTACTGGAAAATAACAAAGCAGAAAACTGAAGAATTCTTTCTAAATGGTGCCATATGAAGTTTTAATAATGTTCATCTCGTTTAAGCGTTCGCGTGTAAGACCAAAGATTCTGGGCTCGAATCCTGCGAGATGCAGGAGTCGTGAATGCGCACTGCCTCTGATGAGTCTCATATACTAGGACGAAACGGCTGTCTAAACAGTGATTCCAGGATTCTAATCGTGGTGGTCTAACAATAATTGATTGATAATGTGTAATATGAAAGTGTCTATTCGTTCGATGGCATTTTAGAACACTTATTGATTACTTCATCAGTTTGTCAGTTAGTTGTTTCTAATGGAATTTGTTGACCTAGTGTATCTATGCCATTTATTTGCTTACAGTCTATATCAATCAGTCTGTTGCATTTACGCACATCAATTCAGGTGTGCATACCTCATTAGCACAGATTGTCTAGTCAAATACTATTGTAACGCTTGCTTGAATAATTTCCAGCTAATTCTTATTGCTTAGTAGTTCTCTGACTACAATACACTGGATAAGTTCCAAAGAATCAAGAACACGGTGGAACAGGAAAAGATTCTATTCCAACTAGCAAGGTTAAGTGGAAATAAAAAGCTGAAGACAAAGGCAAAAATAGATACAACGTTAGTTTATTTATAGCATTTACATGAGAAGCTTCTGGATTGTGATTCACGTGATCGACTGGATTAGATTTAGCCAATCAGCATGCAGCTAACCGTACGAGAATTTTCTACCCTGTTCTCCAAGAGTCGACCAGGCGCTGATTGGATAGGAAATTAGCCAATCAGTGCGCAGCAACGCAGTCATGCTTTAATTCCATCTATGTCCCACTAACAAATACCATTACTGTGGGTAGTAACAATATGAGCGGTAATGTAAAAAAAAACTTAATATACAGGAAGATATTAATCAGTGAATTAAAAAAAAATTATCATGAATTCAGTAACTTAAACTTTTGTGGGTAGGACATAGAATTTATTCACCTACAACACCATTATAAACGATTTCGAAGTATGTCATTCGAAGCCGTCTATAACCATCGGGCGCAGTTATCACGCTAGCTACTCCCAACCAAGGTAGACTACACTTATTAACTTGGCTTAGTCTATAATAGTCAGTTTGATTTCATAGACTGGTGCCATGATTTGATTTGGCCTACCACAACTTCCTTCTACATCACAGGACATCGCACGTCGTGGTAGGCGGTAGTTGGGCAATAGTAGCGCATGTCTCAACCAATTCAACTTATGGAGATTCATTACTTCATCAATCAATTTATCAGTCCTTTTCCTAACTCCAACATTGCTTACTCAGTGGTCCCAGAATAGATCTGCATTGGTTCGAAGATACCTTTGGTCCTTACTTACTTACTTACTTACTCCTGTCACCCCTAGTGGAGCATAGGCCACCTGGAGCTTCTCTGGGCCTACTTCTGGTTCCAAGCCCAGATAGAGGAGGTGCATTGGGCATGGGGCTATCTACCCCATCCTATGGAAAGCTAAATCGCTAGGTTGAATAGGAAACACTGGGTTATTATTGATGATTCTGTCAATGTACGTACATCATATAGAGTCCTTAAAACTCATCTGCTTAAGACCGGTTCTTACAAACTTGAAAAAAATGCTTCATTTTGACCGTGTTAAGATTCTTTCCATGGAAATGTGAACCCATTATCATCTGTCTTGGAATTCGTGACTGTATTCATATCTTGAGTAATTGAATGTTTTTTTTTACCCACCCCATCACATCATGAGGAACATAATAGTTATTTGGATCTACTGCTCCACCTGGTCATTACTCTGCTCTTACAACCAATCTAATGATTGCCACCGAGTTTGAGTCTGGTAAACCGCTTCAGGCTGATCTTGGGAATCTCATCAGCGCTTGATGCGCCTGGTGTACTGACAAATCTCATGGACGAGATACAGAAGGCTCGGTTGGCTATCGGCCAGCTTGCCGTCACTCTATGCGTAGGGGGGATATAGACCGTCTGCTAACCAAAGGTACGAGTGTAATCTGTGCAACAGTTCGCTCCGTCCCTACTTGATGACTGTGAAACATGGGCACAGTTAGAGTAGAAGATATTCGTAGCTTATTACTACTCGATAATAGGTGTCTTCGAAGCATCGCTCGTGCATCCTGAGACTATCGAGTAAGCAATGCTGTTATTAGGAATCGAGTACTAGGTGTAACTATGGCAAATCAATAGATGAATTACTGAAACATCATCAGGTGAGCTGGTTGGGACATGTGTTAGGTATGGCCAACCATTTAACTGCCTCGATGAGCTATGTTTGTGTGTAGGAGTTGGTTGGAAGAAAGTATAGGGGCGGCTAAACCAAAACATGGCACAAATCCGTGAAGTTCACTAACAACTGGATTGAGTCATGTTTTTAGATTTAGACCACTTGGTTGGGGTTCCGCGAGATGATAATAATCGATTTGAGAGAACACAAAGAGTGGGTGCACCTGCGCCATTGCGAACGATTTTGAGCCATCACTCAAGGTCTCTAACCATCGATTATTATCATCTCGCGGACCCCAACCAGGTAGTCGACAATTATCGACATGACTCAGTCCACTTGTCAATAATTTCATGGATTTCTGCCATGTTTTTGGTTTGACCGCCCCTAGCTTTCTTCAACCTAGTCCTACACCACATATCATAGCTCGTTGAGGCAGTCGGTGGTTAGGCATACGCAACACACTGATCCAACCACCTTAACTGATGAAGTTTCATTACTTCATCTATTGATCTGCCATTCTTACCTAGCACACACGATTCCTAATAACAGGCGCTTGCTCAATCGAGTGTCCCAGGAAATATGAGCAGTGCTTCGAAGACCATCCTTCTACTTCTATGATGTTTGAATTGACAATCACATCTCAATGTGTGTTAATCTAATATGATAACTTGAAATGATGCACGTACGTACGTACATACGTACAATGTTCTACATTGTAATGGACTAACTCTAATTTTATTTAATTCTGCATATTTCTTCAAGGTTACAAAACACTACTTTAACTAGTCAACATCCATCAAATTATTCATATCATCACATATCATTGATTTAGACAATGAGAATGAGAATACTTTACTATACAATGCAACACAATGCGCTTTATCATTTGTATGCAGT